CGTAGCTACTTCTCGAAGACTTCTGACAACATAGAAAAAAAGGAAAAGCGAAGGTTAATGGGAACTGAAGGCAATAATCTAAATGAACAAGTTGCTACCTTTAGTTGATTACTTGAGTTACGTGATACTCGCTTGCGCCATCGGTAAAGCCTTCCAAAGAAGAAAAGAAATCATGAACCATGAATTATTTTAAAGCTATAAAAAAATGTTTTAATGTTATGAAGAAATCATCTTGTAGATGGTAATAATATTGAAAGGAATGATAATGTAAAGAAATTAAAACATATCTATTAAAGAATAATAATAATTGATTATTAAAATAGTTACCACTGAGTTTTACTTAGTAATACCTCAACCACGACGTTTAACAATGTTTTCAGTTAATTCCTAAGAAAAGAAATGCAGAGAAAGCGAAAGAACATGTTTACAGGAAGACGAGGTGCAAATGAACAAAGGTAAAATAGATTATTTTTTTTGTTTAGTGCCTCTTCAGTTTATTGTAAAAGTTTTGATGATGAGTAAATTTACACTTTTGGAAATGTACTACCGTCCGACTTTTCGTACCCGCCTTGTTAGATCGAGCATCCGGGACGGGTCGTGACAAAGTCACACAACAACAATAACATCAAGCCTTTATCCCACTACGTGGGGAATCTTGTCTCTTGGAGTAACATAAAGGGATACAGAAATGCAGATTGGGCAGGAGATGAGGATGACATATCCACCATAAATTTTTGCACAAAATTATGAGGGAATCTTCTCTTGGAGTAAAAAAATAAGTATTGCTAGAAATAGTATTGAAGCATAATTTCATGTCATTACACAAGAGGTTAGTGAAGTTAGTTGGCTAAAAAGGTTGGTGAAATATTTAAAAAGGCCTAACACATCTCCTACAACTCTCTATAGTGATAGAAAATTAGCAATCAATATTATTCATAATCTTGTTCAACATGACAAAATGAAGCGTGGAAGGATTGATCACTTATTTAAAAAGAGAAAGAGAGAGAACATAGTAGAATAAACATATACTACATTCCTTCTACCTTTCAACAAGCTGATGTTCTGACAATAATTCTAAACAAAGGAGTTTTTGAAGATCCATCGAGTGATTTAGAAAAATATTAATTCATGTCCTATTTAGTACGAGAGTTGTTGGTTCTTCTAAAATTAAGCAATAATTTGAATTCAAAACATTTCCTGTCATTCCAAGCCTCATGCCTTATTTTCCAGGACATTTCCTGCTATTCCAAACCTCATGCCTACTTATCTAGAACACTTCTTAACATTCCATGCCTCATGCCTTATCGTCCTCTGCCCTCAAAAATGTAACTCCACGATAGTTGCACAGTTGGAGCTCATTGCCAAGTTGATTTCTAGTGGTTGATGGTTGGATTGCACATTCTCCTTCTCAAATCATTAAATAAATTCCATCTGTACTCTATTGTGATTTGTTGTGATTATTTCATGTTAATAGCATTTATACCACATCATATTTTGTACTTGGAAAAGAGGAAAGTAGAATATGTATTTTAGTTAATTTCCTTCTAATCACTTAAAAATTATGATATGAAAATTTATGTTAATAAGCTAATCAATAAGTTGTGCATTTGGCCAAAGCCTCAATGTATCCTATATAAGGAAGGGCCTTCTTTTGGCATTAAATTTTTAAATGTATTTTGCTCAATTGAGTTAGAATGCATAGAAATATCCACCGAACAAATTACAAAATAAGAAGAATATCAAACAAATAATAAATTTTCCTTAGACAACTAACATATAGAGCAGAGAATCTCAACAAACTTTCACAAAAATAAAGCCAATAAAAAGAACTTCTTAAGCTATCTTCATCTTCCTTGTGACTTAGATCTCTTGTGAAATGTATTTCGGCATTCCACATTTTTTTAATCTAAAAAATAGACTTAGCAGTAAGGTCTTATAGCTTTTCGCTATTATTTATTCTAATTGTTAAAAAGAGATTAAAAGGCAAGGTCTAGGAGCATGGTTCCTCAAACGAAAATTAGTCAATAAGAAAACTAGAGAAACTCCATCCCATTCGGCTTGCACGCCGCACCAATCACTCTTATTGTGATTGTCGTATATGTCGCTATTGTCATACCTAAGGTCTACTATCTATGGTTGGTTTGTCCTCGTTCTCCATCCATCCCGTCGTGTCTACCTCCTCGCTTGAACTCGCTATGGCATTTGTTTGGTCATGCCCTAGTGGATCTCTTGCGATCATGGATTGCCCAATCTCATAAGACTCTCCTTAATTTTTTTTTCTTTTTTCATCGCAATCATGCTTGCTTGTTGTCATGCGTGCTGCACCACCCAATATCCCTAGCTGTAAAACCCCTCCAAAGCTGATTTTTTTTAGTGCTGTTAGTCCGGACGAACTGGCCTTAGTACGGGACAAACTGAAGAAATTGTGAAGAAATCTGTATGGTTCGTCTGGACGAACCTGTAAGGGTCGGGACGAACCGTTGGGACGAACCAAACAGAGAGTTTCGTCCATGGACGAAGAAAATTGGAATTTATTTTCGTCTGGACGTTTTGAGTCAAGAGAAGATCGTCCCGGGACGATCGGGACATCGTCCTGGACGATCCTGCTTAATAAATATCTGAATGGTGTCATTTTTGAAGAGAGAGAAAGCTGTGGAGAGAGAAAAACGAAGGGAAAAGAAGAAAAGTGGATTTTTGAGCGACTCCGGTCCATTTTCGTCCGTCTCCGTAGTTGGAAAAGTTGATCGACTCGAGGTAAGGCACATTCCGCCTTTCTCAATTTTAAGAAACGAGAATTTTGATGACTTTTCTGTCTCGAATTTTGTTTCTGTTAGCGAATAATTGATCTTATTTCGCACTGATAAATGTTTTACCGCGTAACTTTTGGTATGTTTCTGAGATGATAATTGTGCACGTTTTGAGTATTTTTTTGAAAGATTTTTACCGGATATTTTGAATTCTGCGGCGTTTTAATTGAATTGCAAGTTATCAGGATGTTGAAAAATGTTACGTCAGTACAATGAAAGTCTTATAATGTTGTTGTGGATATTTTGTGATAATTTGGTAAATTTCTGAATTTGTGATTTCTGTGTAAATTTCGTATACTGCCGTTATGCCACTGATGAATTTTCTGACGAAATCCAATTTTCTGATTTAAATGTTTTGATGTGTGCATGCTATCAGAAGGGAGTTATAATGGGCCAGAATCCTTTGAGATTCTGTCTGTGTCCGGGAAAATCTGAAATCTGAAAATAAGTTCTTTTCCGGAAATTATGTATATCTGATCTGTTCTGGTGCTATAAGCACAACTGGAGACATAAGGGGTCAGAATCCGTCGAGATTCTGTCTGTGTCAGGGAAGGGAAGCATAAGGGGCAAGAATCCGTTGAGATTCTGTCAGTGTCAGGGAATCTGATGTTTGATATCTGATAATCTGTTCTGTGACTTATCTGGTCTGTTTTATGAATTATTCGATATATGATTTCTGATTTTCTGTATGATTCTGTCTGCTCTGTGAATTGAAAGCCTTATGATATCCGATTTGAAATGACTTCAGTTTTCTGTATCAGTTGTTTGTTTCTGTTGATCAAGTATATGTCATGTCTGTTCTACGATTTCCGTACGGCTATTTTCTGATGTGAATTTCTGACTATTTTGATTGGTGAGTGATGTCTTGCTGAGCTGTTAGCTCATCCTTGTTTTCTGCGTGGTTTTCAGGTTCTGGGAAAGGGAAGGAGGTCTTGGACTAGAAATTCTGTGTCTGATCTGAGATTAGGTATTTTGTATTTTTTATTTTTGGTACAGTCATGGCTTTTCTGCTTTGTTCTGTTATTTCTGTCTGAAGCCATGGATTGTATTGTATATAATTGTTTTGATGAAAGAAAAGATAGATGAATTATTCTGTATTTGGATGTTTATAGTAGCTCTGTGTTTTTCTGTCTATTTAATATTTGAAAGAAAGTTCTGAAGCAAATTCCAAAGCTAGATCCTGGATTTTCAATAGTTCCGTCGCGACACGATGCGAGCGGGATCCGTCCCGATCGGATTGGGTCGTGACACTAGCTGTGTTCTTAAGTGTTTGCACGCCTTTCCCAATCCAACTAATGTGTCATTGGTGACTTTGATGGCATCCCGTCTCCACCTTCCTTTGTGGTGCCCAACTTCCATCTCCCTTCATGGGCATCTCACCCCCTTTGTTGGTGCATCCCAATGCCATCATCAAGGCTCCTCATCATGCTTCACCTTTATCAATTTATCTCTGCCAGTCACCTATTGATGGTCCAGCAATTATTGATGTAAATTGCTGGTCCAACTGCTCCTTCAAACTAAACTCTTCCAAATGTTGGTGCACCACTTACCATGATAGATCCTCCATTTCTTTCGTTGATGCTGATAAATGTGAGTGTTCCTTATAGCCCTATTCGCCTTTTTATTTCCCTATCTTCTTTCAGCATGGCATTAACTCTGCAAGACACAAGCCAACCCACTAACTTTAGCACAAATTCACTCTTATTTTTTCTAAGGCAAAGATTTATAATCTAGCAACTCCATTTTCCTACTATAGTTAAAAATTTTGTCTTAGCAATTCGAGCTTGGAAATTATTCATACCTTCATGATTAATCTTCGTTTGAATGGCATTTTTACTATTGGACTTCATAATCATCATCACATCCTTATCAAACTACCTTTGGAAACAATTTATTCAAAGATTTTTAAACTGCATTCATATTATGTGAATAAACTACAAATCCGTGCATTGAAGTGGCCTCTATATTAATATAGCTAATTAGGGCTTAAATAATATGTCATGGAGCCAAGTGGTTCAATGGTTCAGAAATATAAGATTTTGGATTTAAATAGTTAATTACCCAAATACCCTTCATAATTCAATACATTAACTAAAATAATCTGATTAACACATGCTTTAAATCTAGGTGACCTAAGAAGCAACAATAGAGTGGATATCAAGCATCAACCAAAAAAATGTCAAAATAGCATACCTTACCAACAGGATTATGAATATGATTGTTAGCACTGCCACAATCCATTGAGGCAATGGAGGATGCTTTACGCTTTCTACTGCAGTCATTTATGTGTTCATCTGATTTATGTGAATGGCGTGATAACTTCTCCTTATTACTTAAATCCAAATCCATATGAAGCTTCGCGATAATTTGATCATTTATCTGCATCAAACAGATGATAAAGCAAACACATTAATTACTTTCAACTTTTATAAAATTAAAGTTCTAACAATGGTGACAGCCACCTAGAAATATCCTTCCACCAATGCACGCAATATAACACAAACAAGTAACTCTTAAAAAAACAAAAAGCACTTCCCGTTACACATGCAGGATTAGTTAGTTATAAGGGATTATCAAGATTAATCATCTACAAAAAAACTAAACTGGTCCAGAAAAAGAACCAAGTCGGGAAAATAATAATGATCTTCCTCTAGCTCCACCACCAAATCCCCATTATCTGTGCTTGCACGTAGAATTGTTAAAAAAAGCTTTTCATTCACAAACATCTCGTGTTTAACTCATTAAGAAGCTCCTGTTTAATCCATTCGTTAAGAGAGCAGAACATGAACAGATGTTTTGAGCTCAATTTAAAATAATCAAATTCAGACGAATCTTTCTTCAATTGTTCTACTCGTTCAATCTTTCCATGCACTATTTCATCGACTGCTCCTGAAGTTTGTTAATATTATAACACTTATCATATGGATGCTAATGCTCCTAGGGATTCTCCGTATCTGGGATCTTCATTGCCTTGCACTCCACGATCATTTGTTAAGGTTTTTAGATAGTATAAGGGTCATAGACCTTTGTGTCCCAATTCATTTACCCACGCATTTAAACACGATTCAACATCTACTCATCATCAATCATAATCCACTTTTTAAAGGTAGACAAGATCTTTGAATTGGATTTCCCTTTTTAACCTCTCCACGGTAGGCCAGTTTTCCTAGGATCATCCTAATATGAAAATCATTCACATTCATGATAGACTTGCATTTGGTTGGGTGTTATAATGTGGAACTTATTGATGCACATCATGTTTTGATCAAATTCTTCCAAGAATCTTATTAGTAAAGTCTTTTCCTTTGGAAAACACTCCATAGAATGTGTTCTTAATGCGTATGTTTAAATGGACGCCTCATTTTAACTATTATATAGAACCTCGTGTCACCTAAATTTAAACGATTTTTTCACATATTCAAATTATTATTTCAATCAATCCATTTTGTACTCCCATGGTTTAACCTTTGGCAATTTTCTTTAGGTGGATTATGCTACTTCTAGGATTTTAAAGACATTAATGGCTAAGGTTTTGATCAAATTGAATGTCTTCCCCTCTTGGAAAAGAAGTTTGGATTGATTCCGCATTTAATGACCATTGACTGAATATTGAGTTTGAGGGCATTCCTCCGTATTGTTGTTCTTACAAAATATTTAAATACAATTTATTAAAATATTTCAAGGCACACCCAAAGCTATGAAAACCTAGCAATTGTTGCACTGAGGGTCTTTAATCTAATGAAATCCTACCTCCCAATGCAACGGTAGCGCTTTCATCTACTTCTAATATAATTTGTATACAAAACTTGGAATCCACATTGGCTTTTCGTTGGAAATTAGTACATTTCGAGTTGCTAGCCCGGTCTCTGCACCTACTTATATGATTAGTGATCCTATCCCTCCAAAGTTCTTACTTATGTTGATCTTCTTGATGTTGGGGACATGGGTGCTCAAACTCTTTCAGTTATCTTTGTTATTAGTATTTCTAGAACAGAGGAGTTTTTGGACAAGAAATTTTAAATTTTATATACTCCGAGAAGAAGAAATAGAACCACCAATGTTCTCATTCCACTGTTTTCATCATGACAGTTCAACCGCTGAGTTTGATGCAACCTTTATTCACAAAGGATCCAAATATTCTTCAGAACCAAATTTAATAAAGAAAAAATCTAGCTTAAAAAAGGTAATAAAATAAAACCAACTTGTATTTCAATGTCAATTGAAAGCTTCTGAAAGTTCATTTTTCCTTATTTTAACATCAGAGACCGAGAAAATCATAATGGCAAAAACAATTTACCATCTTCAACGTCTTGCAAGAAAGGCATATGAAGAGGAACAACTTCCTTTTATTGAAGAGTAAAAACATGAATTAGGTGTGCAACAAACATTTTTACAACCATAACAAGTAATAGAATTCCTGAAGTCATTAGATAAGTGAACCTTCTACAAGCATTTGAAACAACTGGGTGAGGGTCCCTTACCTTGAAACGTTCTTCAAATAGAGGACATCAAGAAGAGATTTGGTAGCCACAACAAAGAACCTACTGAAAAAGAACCCTAAGAGGGAGCTACATAACTAAGGAAAAGTCTTCACAGCAAGTGGTACTCATCTGTCATCTCCTTAGATCTGAGTGTTGGGAAATAAGAAATTTGTTGATAATTAAGTTGATATGGTGGATTTGATAATACTAATATATATATATATATAGTAGAACTATAAAAGATAAATTAATGAATGTTTATCATTGAAGTATGATTTATAGATGCATCATCTATTGAAGATAAAATAATTGAAAATGAATTTAGGCAGTTTAAAACACATACAATAAATGGTAGATATGCTTCCATTAGAATAGTAGATAAAGTTGGTACAAAGAATTGAAAAGAAAAAAAAGTAGACTTAAAGGAAAATTGAGAGAAATTGCTGAAAAAGATTTGCAAAGAAAAGACTTAACACTTAATGATAAAGGAAAACATGATAATATTTAAATAATTTTGGAGAAGGAACTAAATTTTAGCACTGATAAACATAAAGGCAATTTCTCCTGGGGAATATGGAGGTTGTTCGTGGATTCATGATCGATCTGCGTTTGGTGAGAGATTATACTGCTAAACTTATTAATTCTTGTCATGTTCTTATTAAGTTACCACAAGAATTTAACTACTCAAGACTCTTCAAAGAACATACTATGTGGATGTGTTTTTAATGCGTATGCTTAAGGAGACACTATATTTTAATTGTGTTGTGGAAATCCTATTACTCCTATTTGGGTTATTTTTTTCACATCTATAGATTCACTACTTCAAATCTTCAATTACTCCATTTTATACTATCTTGATCTAGAGATTAATATGAATTGGCCCCACTTTTAATGGCTACTAACAAAAGGTTCTGTTTGAAGGCATCCTACTTAATGTTCTTGTTACAAAACATTTGACAACAATTTCTCAAATGCTCAAGACACACCCAAAGTTACTAAATTCTCAACATCATGGCAATAGGGATCTTCCATCAGATAAAAACATTTTTTCTACTGCAATGTCGGCAATTCCATACTATGATTGGGCTTGTGCACAAACCTTGAATCAGCTTTGAATTCTACCTTGATTAATCAGCTTTGAATTCTACCTTGGAATCAATGCCTTTTCGGGTTGCAAGCTCAACGATTATGATTAATTATGCATCTACTCACGTAATTAATGATCTAGACCCTTATAGGGTTCTTGCTCCAGTTAATATTCCCATTATTGAGGACATGGGTGATCCTGGTTATCTTTCTATTACTTCTTATGTCAGCATTTTTAGCACAGAGGAGCTTAAGGAGAATAAGTTTTAAATTATTTATGCCAAGCTAGAAAGCAAAAATAAAAAAGAATAATGTCACTCTCCAAAATATATCAAGCTTCGAGTTAGACGTATTTGTGAGGACTCTTGGAGTTTTCTCTACTAGTTGGTTCATTTGCCACTTAATGTCCTTCTTAGTGTTTTTTGTTGTTAATTGTAAATAATATGATTCGAGTCCATTGCCATTAAAATGATATATTTGCTATTACATAGGGCAAAAAAGGACCATAGCGGAGCCTAGTATTATCCTGTCCAAGCTTATTCATGCTTAAACATAGCCCAACTTAAAAAATATTGCTTAATCTTGTTTTTACTTTTTCCTGATCAAGTTCAAGTTGTAATAAAGCTTTAATCTATCCTAACTATATATATGGGATATGCTTATAAAAAAAACATAACCTCATCATCAAACATGATTTTTTATACAATTGTTCATCAAAGTCAAAATATTCCAATATCTTATTTGTTGTTTCTTTTTTCAAATTCAAGTATTCATAAAAAACAATCTAACAGCAAATTTAACAAAAAACCTAGCCATATCTCAATATAAATGGTCATCATACTTATACTTCTTTTTTAAGAGGATGAAATCAAAGAAAATTATTAGAAGAACGTGCAAAGTTGATGAGGACATCAGCAAAAAATTTCGACGCGTCTACCATCAGAGGAATCGTAGATCGACAACTATGATTCAGAGTCTCTGTTTATGATGCATTTATGTATTTCTTTTATTTATATTTCATTTTTTTTTACCATTGTACCCCTATGAGGAATTTTTTTATGTTGTAGCCCTGAGGGCATTTTAGTCTTTGAGCTTCTTTATTTTGGAGGCCTATATATTAAGGCCTTAGTCATTGTATTAGGGTTAATGATGGATTAATAAAAATTTGAGCTTTTGTTCTTCATCTCTTTGAGAGCTCTTTAGAGAAGAGAACCCTATGAGAGGGTCAAGTAATACCCGTCAGTTGCCAGTAGAGGTCGGGCTCGTGGTTCGTATCCATTTTATTCCTCATTCCTCCTTCCTCTTCCCTACAACCGCCGGCCACCTTGCCTTCAACCCCTACCACTGGCTACCTCACCCCTCTCCACCTCAAGCCGTCGGCCCCTCCTCCCATACCCCCCAACCGTACGGCTCCCTAGCCTCACCGCCACCCCCTTCCTCAACCGAACCTAGCCCGGTTCCTCCTCAAGTCGGCAGCCTACCCATCCCCATCCCCTTGATTCCCCTTCAATTACCCCTTTATTTACTTTCCTAATTTAATCATCATCTAATTTGGAAAGTTTCATAATTCAAATTCAAATGAATTTGAAATTTGTAATCTTTCCTAATTAGCCTACAAATATTTAGGAAGCTTTCCTAATTGATTTCAATCCGATATTAATTAGGATTTAATGCCAAATCCTACATTCATTGTATTTAGACCATTCATTGAATGTGGACACTTCTTAAATCCCTCGCCTCTCTCTCATGGCCGGCCCCCTCTCTCCATTCTTAACTAAATTTCTTTCCCATATTGCCCCAATCAAGGCCCCATCTAGGTGGTCAACCCCCTCCCTCTCCCCCAATTAATGGGAATTCAAATTTCAAATATTCCCTCCATTTCCACTTACAAAAATTTGAAATTAAATTCATATTTTAATTGATTACCTCCCCTCCACCTAAACTAAAAGCCGAAAATTCAAGAGACGTCATCCTTTAGCCTTGGTCAAAATTCCCCACTCTCCCTTTCCCTCCTTTCTTCTCTTCTCCACCACCTCATACGCCTCGAAGGGTTAAGCTTCGCAAACCGGCCTCCTCTCCATGAATGGCCGATCCTGAAAGAGACCATGGGTCCGTGTATGATCCTCAAGGACGAGTGTATATTCTCTGGTATCCCTTCTTCAACTTCAACTTGGAGATCGACGACACCGTCGACGACTACGTAGACCGGATCCTATTCACCTTGACGTCTGCTATCGAAGAACACCAAACCTCCAGATAGTGGCGAATTATCGGATATCCTCCAACTTTTTCCCCTCCGGCTAACTTTTCATTGGATAATGTTGTAAGAGTTCTCTTTCTTTTTGATAGTATCTCTAGGTTTGCTAAAATTATTCTCCCGTTGACCCGACTATCAAGAGTGAAAGTGAGGGGAACTCAAGGTGAACTTTCTATTTATTAAACGATGGATTTTGTTATTTTGCCTCTAGTGTTACTACGATTTTTTTGTTCTTATTTTAAAATTGTCCTGTTAATTTTTTATAACTGTATGCCAAAGCACAACTGTAACTAAGAAATCCTAAACTCTTATCTTGGTGAAACATCAAGTTTAAAATTATCAAAGCTTAGCAACTTGTTATTAATTCTTAAGCAATTCCTATTTCTATATATGTTTCACATGAAAAGTATCAATAAATAAGTGAATGCGATCGTATTAAATTAGTATTTTATAATCTCTTAAGAAATTTTTAAATAAAAAAATGTTCACGAACATAAACAAATAAATGCGTAGATTTCCAAGCTTGATCAAATATTTAAATAACTAAAAATAAATGGGCTTAAATGAATGAGTATAGAGTTGTTTATTGAGTACTTACTGATTAAATGGACATTTTATAATCTCTTAGAAAATTGATGGTTAAAAACCAAAAAAAAAATGTTCACAAACACAAAACAAACAAATGGGTAAATTTTTAAGCTTGTTTGAATATTTAAATTACTAAATATATACGGTACTTAAATGAATGAGTATAGAGTTGTTAATAAAGTATTGATTCACTTCCACCCCTTCAGTTGCATAATCAAGTGAATCAATAATGATAAAAGAGCATCAATCGAAAACAATAGAATTAGATATAAGTCTTACAAAACTAATCAACAATATAGACAGTCTAACACCTAAGTCATCACAGAACTACAATAGGCTAATCACCACATACTTGTTTCTTCTTGCAATGATCAGCTTAACATATTATTAATATGTAAATATGTGGAACGCAATCAAATAGGAATAAATTAGAATAAGAGCAGAGGTATAAATTGAAAGAACACGAGAGATAGCCCACACCGCCCCTCAACTATCACATTGTACTAGACTAAAATCGCAATAAAATACCAAAAAACAATAATAAAAAGTATTTTGCAAATCAAATTGTACCCTGTCAGTTTCTCGAGTTAGAAAGTTCACACTTTCATTAAGAATTGCCTTCAACCTCTCTTTCTTGAATTCAGGAAAGGGTAACTGAAGCATCTCACTGTCCATGAGCAGCTCCAATGTTAGATGCTTGAAGTACCCAATCAAGTTAGGACCTGCTTCATTTGTCATGGCTTCTGCTGCACAATTTTCATAGGCATTGGTCATCTTAAGCTTTCAAAAATCATGTGATACCATAGTCTATCAGAAGAAGCATCTATACAAACAATAAACCATAGTAACATAAAAATGATAGATGTCTTAGGATTGTATAAACATTATCATCACTGACATCAACACTAAATAAAACAATACACTCAATTTCCTTACTCCATGCCCACCCACCATGATAAGCGCAGTGGTATGAAAACCTAGTGGTACTCTAAGACTAAATTGATCATCTATGAATAGTTTGGGGGCTATTTTGATTTTTTTTTCTATTTTAAATTTTCAACATTATATTTTGTGTTTTATCATTTTTGCACATTCATTTACCTTGGGAGCCATTTTCCCTCCAAAAATTTCCCACCACTTTTTGGAGTAATGGTGGCCTATGAGTTATTTAAAAAAAAAGTATGACATAAGCTACAAGATCAAAAGTAGAGGCTCTGCATCGTAGCCGTCGATCTGCGCCGTCGGCGATGGTACACATGTCGAAATCTGATGTCCCCATCACCTAGGGAGCCATTTTCCCTCCAAAAATTTCCCACCACTTTTTGGAGTAATGGTGGCCTATGAGTTATTTTAAAATTTACATATAGTGTTGATATGTAATGAAATTTTTTCAATTTTAAATTATATAAAATTTTAGAAAATTTTGTTCTCTTGTTTGTTAGGGCTTACCATCACCAAGTGTTCTTCATTTTACTCACTCAAGCCCTTGAAGCTCTTGAAACTCCAAAAATTTTAGATCATAACTAAATTTCCTAAGCTAGCCTTTCCTAATAATTTAACTGCATTTATCATCCTTAAACACATTCATGAAAGAGTTAATCCAAATCAACCCAAACTAAATCCATTTGAGCTATAGTCTTAAATTTTCCACCATCATATTACCTGAAGACATCCCCTTCTTCCACTATAAACTCTAAATTGAAACTCAACATCATAAACCAACCATCTATAGGCATCTCCAACCATAACTTCACTTATAAAGCCACCACCCACAACCATTAACTTTGATACTAGAGCAAAACCTAGAAAGAGGATTATCAAAGAATATATTAATTCCTTACATTTGATGGTATAAATTCATATCAAAAGCTAGTCAATTAGCTATATTCCTTGCAAGTCCATGATAAATGCAAAATCGTCAAATTAGTTTGCTAAACCATAAAGCCAAGCATATCTCCTTTTGCGTGCACTTAACATTAGCTTTTAATGAAGTGAACATCATAGTGAGGGAGTGGGAGAGTTCCACTTATAAAACAACCGCAACCCTAATGCAAAATAAAATTTAGTTACTTATTTTATTTTTCTTCAGTAATGATTATAGTTAAATTTAGATATTTGTTGTGAATGATGTGTTAACTTGCTTTTTTAAAAAATAAATACAATAAATAGCTTGATAGTTTTATGCATTTTTATTTGAATTCAAAATTGCATATATAAGAATAGAAGTTTGTTAGATTTGATATTTTTTATATTAGATAGAACTTTGTCAAAACAAAATCTAAATCATCCAAAGAGACCTTAAAATATAAGCTTCAGTATCCTCATTCTCATCTAGAAGTTCCCTTAGCCTGAAATTTACTTTCATTATACAAGGAAAAGGTCCTAAGATGAGAGAATTATAGATATAATTGTATAAATTTAATATCCCCCTCCTCATCTGAGTTTTCTTAGTCTTTAATAAAGTGAATCTAAGGCTAAGAAAACTTCTAAATCAGAAGGGGAATACTGGAACTTATATTTTAAGCTCTCTTTTTATAAATTAAATTTTGTTTTAATAAAATTCTATATAATATCAAAAACATCAAATCTAACAAACTTATATTCTTATATATACAAGTTTAAATACAAATAAAAATGCATAAAACAATCAAACTGTTTATTATAATTATTTTTTAAGAAAGCAAGTTAACACAAACTATTCACAACAAGTTTCTAAATTTAATCAAAAGCATTGCCGAAGAAAAATAAAATAAGTAATTGAATTTTATTTTACATTTGGGTTAGGATTATTTTATGAGTGGAACTCTCCCCCGCTATAGTGTTCACTTTATTAAACGCTACTGTTAAGTTCACCCAAAGAAAGATAGGCTAGGTTTTATGATTTAGTAAACTAATTGGAAGATTTTGCATGTATCATAGACTTGCAAGCAATACAGCTAATTGACTAGCTTTTGATATAAATTTATACTATTATAGATAAGGAATTAAATCGCCTAAAAAGATTAAAAAATGAATTACAAATTAGAGGCAAATACAACACAAGCAAAGGTCCCTGTTACTAAAAAAGTTGTATCTAAATATTCCTTGAAAATTCTCCTTCTAGATTTTGCTCTAGTATCAAATTTAAGGGTCGTGGATGGTTTTATAAGTGGAGTTATGGTTGGAGATGCCTATGGATAGTTGGTTTATGATGTGGAGTTTTGATCTAGAGTTGATGGTCGAAGTAGAGGGCAGTCTTCACTCTTCAGGTACTATGAAGGTGAAAAATTTAAGACGAGATCAAATATTTCTAGTTTGGGTTGAGTTTAACTCTTTTAGGAATATGTTCAAGGGTGATAAAAGCAGGTAAATTATTAGGAAAGACTAGCTTTGAAAATTTAGTTATGATATAAAATTTTTAGTAGAGTTTAAAGAGCTTCAAGGGCTTGTATGAGTAAACTAAAGAATACTAAGGGATGGTAGAATAATCTTGGCCAAAAGCCTAAAGGGTAGAGTTTAAAGAGCTTCAAGGGCTTGTGTGAGTAAACTAAAGAATACTAAGGAATGGTAGAATAATCTTGGCCAAAAGCCTAAAGGTGGACTTTAAAATTATTTTGATTGCTTTGGGTGATGTTGATTGGTCTTAAGAGATGGCTAAGGTGTCAAAAGAGGTTGTGAAGACTGAAGAGAAATAGCATGCATCATGGCATAACTAACCTTTCCCATTAAGGAAGGTAAATGGCCAACCACCAAGCCCTAACAAACAAGAGAACAAATTTTTCTAAAAGTTTATATCATTTAAAACTGAAAAAATTTCATTACATATCAACACCATATATAAAGTTTAAAATGACTCATAGGCTATCATTACTCCAAAAAGTGGCGGGAAATTTTGGGAGGGAAAATGGGTTCCAAGGTAAATGAATGTGCAAAAATAATAAAACATAAAAAATCTAATCTTGAAAATTTAAAATAAAAAAAATATCAAAACAGTCCCCAGACTATTCATACTAACCAATTTAGTCTTAAAATAGCACGTTACTATTACAAAAATGACCCCTCATATTGTTATTGTGATATAAAATTGACTCCTAGTTCTTTGAGTATATAAAATTGATCCCAATTTAGTCCTAAAGGACTCATTTTATATCCATAGTGTAATCAACAAACACAGGTGTATTTTATTCTAACTCTTCTTGTGTTTATTCTTTTTTTTTTATACTTCTTTCAAATTTTCTTGCATCTAATGACAAATGTCATGTAGGACTTTTTTGCAAAAAACAATGTTACCTCTTATTCTTGCTAGATGTTGTTTCATCGTATTAATATCTCCTCCTTTATAAGTAATACCACAATGTAGACATTTAAATTATTTTTTCTCATCTGGACCTTTATACTCACTATAGTGATTCCAAACAATGTCTATCTTTTCGCGCACGTTATGAGATGGCGTTGTCATTGGATCTACTCTAAAGCAAAAGAAACAAATCTATATATGAAACAGAGTATTGACATTCAATGTCTTTTTATTATTGTTGAAGCCAACCAACAGCAAGTCTTTGTACTATTGGTCTAGCATTGTTGAAGAATATCATAATAATATTAGCTATCATAAGATTCATAACTATCAATTCTTCTCCAAACAAATCATCACATAAAGTTGAGATCTTTTTATTGAGCTAGTTCTCAACACAATGCTAAATTTGAACACCCCAAAAAGCAACCCAAAAAAGCAAGGTTTAATCTAACTTAAGGGATTCAAGTTATCTCAACTTATTTTGACATGAAGAATTAGATGATAAAGATTTCAACTTATTTTGACATGAAGAAGATAAGGATTTAACATGAAAATAAAGATTATATAATATATTTCTTAACTTATAATTGAGCATCAATAAGGAATGTAATGCTATAAATTAGCAATTCAATTAAAATAATTATAGCAAATAAAAACCAGTTAATCAAAATAATATTTGTAATGGTTAATGGTTATGATATATCATCAAAAAATTATCTTCATTGGGCACAAATCTCAAGGCGAAATCAATTTATAAACTTCAGAAATTAAATATGGGACCATCCAAACTCCAATTTAAACAAACTTATAGTCGAACTGAACGTCTAGAAAAGACGAACCCAACGACACCAAATTTGACTCAATCCGAGCCAAATGAGTCCAAATCAAAGACTCAAAGTACATTTGAAAAGTTCAAACCATAAATTGGATGACCAAAAGATTTCCAAAAGTGGCATGCTTATGGTTGAATCGAGCGGCTCAACGAGATGAATCCAACGAGCCCAAGATCGTCAAATTCTGATATCATTAAGACATTCAAATCCCAATAAACAGGCCATAATCAAAGGGATCAATATCGACCGTCTATTCAAACCACTCCCAACATACCCTTGATCTCCCTCTTATTTATTGGTCGTGTCACTCTCATAAAACTATAAATAGAGCACTCATTCTTAATGGAAGGGGGCCCAAGCAAGGAAGAGAAGAAAGAAGAGAAACTAGAGTTTTCTTGCCGCCAGACTCCTTGACCATCGTTGGACTTTCACCCAGCCATAGACTTTTGTCGGACTTCCACCTGTCTACCAATTCTTGTTGGACTTCCACCCGACAAAGGTATTTCCGACCTCCGTCGTCGAACAACGATCTTTCTGACCACCGTCGCGCGCTGACTAGGTCCTTCCGACCTCTGTCGCCTGATAATGGTTTTTCTAACCTATCGAATGCCGATTATGGTTCTTCTAACCTCCATCGTCTAACAACAATTTTTCCGACCTCCATCGTCCGCTGACTACGATCCTTCCAACCACCGTCACCTAACTACAGTCTTTCTGATCTTCATTGCCCGCCGATTACGGTCCTTCCGACCACCATCATCAAACAACGATCTTTACGACCTCTGTTGCCTGCCTACTATGATCATTCCGACCTCCGTTGTCATACGACAATCTTCATTCCAATCTCTATTGCCAGACGACGATCTTTCTAACACCGACTATGATCTTTCTGACACCAACTACGGTCCTTCCGACCATCTTCACCGATTAATATCTTTCCAACTTTCGTTGCCGCCGACTACGATCTTTCTAACCACCATCACATGCAGACTACGGTCCTTTTGACCTATATCGCCTGATAACAGTCTTTCTGACCTATCGAATGTCGATTATGGTTCTTCCGGCCTCCATCGCATGACAAAGGTCTTTTCAACCTTCATCGCCCGTCCACTATGGTCCTTCCGGCCACCGTCACCTGAATACAGTCTTTCCGACCTCCGTCGCTAGCCGACTATGGTCCTGCCGACCAAACGAACGTATCAATTCTGATTCTTCCAATTTCCACCATGTAATGCAGTCTATATGATGTATATTTGCTACATCAAGCCAAGGTCATGAATGGCCTTATTTGTAATCGACTGCAAATACTAGTGTATTCATTCAAATTGAGCCAGGCCCCGTGATTTTTTCGCCTTTTCGGGAATTTCCACGTAAAAACTCTGGTGTCTCTTATGAATGTTACACCCACTATTTTATCTGATTGTATGTTGGATCTTCGTACAAAATTAAGACGTTAAACTTTATATTTCTCTACCGCCGCGAATATTCCAAAACTCCGGACTATTTATCTAATAGTTTAAGTGAAGCAATTATTTTGTTTGATTATGTTATTTATTTGGTTTAAGATTGTGGTTTTTTAACTTTTCAAAGTAACATGAGCTCAGGAAGCTCAGAATAAACAAGGAAAAAGACAAGCTAGGCAAGTGTTGACTATCCTATATAACATTGCGGCCATTATATACAATATACTGGAGCTATCCCTCTCTCTCAACCGCTGTTTAAGCGAACACAAAATACAAAATAATAAAAGACAGTTGATACTTGAGTCTTGAGAAAGATTACCTGGTTTTGAGTGCCGAGGAAGGAACTTCCGATTTGAAGTGCACAACTGCTGCAATCCACTGGCCAAGCCCTGCGATGAAAGAGCGAGCTGCGAGCCTGCGACGAAGCGCGAGCTGCGAGCCTGCGACGAAGCGCGAGCTGCGAGCCTGCGACACTCCACAGTTCGAAATCCGCGAAATCGGGAGATCCTCACGACCTGGGAGAGATCTCGTTTCAGGGATTGAAGTTAAATTAATCTGGCGATTTCATCCGTTGGATGTGTGATTAGCGGCTCAGAATTGCCGAATTGTGAACCGCGCGGCCCTTTTCGAGGCGGCCGGTCCGCCGGTTTTCCGCACCTCAGCCGGTTTTTTTTTTTTTTAGATTTTAGTGCAAAATGGTTTTGGTTATATGACCGGACCGAACGCCTAACCAGCCAATCCGATTTATCACGTCACCGGTTCAATCTTAGTTCAACTCTGGTCGAATCATCGAACCATAAACTTCTTCTTCTTTCGATTCCTTCTCCTCCGATCCGATTTTCATAACCTTTTTAACACTATGAACTATATGAGTCCTCTTACAAGTTATCGATATAGAGTAGGGGACAATAGAGATGTACCACTAATACAATAGATTGCAGGTTCTCAGAGTTGATAACGTATTCGTGATATATCATCAAAATATTATCTTGATCGGGCATGAATCTCGAGGCAAAATCAAGTTAGAAAATTTTGAAATCAAATTAAGGACCATTCGAGCTCTGAAACTTATAGTAGAATTGAACGTCTCAGAATTACAAACCCAACAACACCAAATTCGACTCAATCCGAGCCCAAATGGATCCAAATCAAAGATCTGAAACACCTTTGAAACTTGGAAGGTTCAAATCATAAATTGGATGTCCAAAAAATTTTCAAATGTGACATACTTATAGTCGAATTGAGCGGCTAATTCGACGAGACAAATAAAAAAAAAACCCAAGATCTCCAAATTCAGATATCATTAAGACATTCAAATGTCTAGTAAATGATCCACTATCAATGGAATCAACATCAGCCGTGCATTCAAACCACTCCCAACTTATCATTGATCTTTCTTATATTTACTCACCATGCCACTCTCAGAAATCTATAAATAGAATCCTCATTTCTCATGGAGATCTCTCTTTTCACCAAGCTCCTCCTCGGCCACCACATGGACTTTTGCCAGACTATCGACTAATGCTGGACTTTTGTCGGACCACCGATTGACGTCGAACTTCCGTCGGACCATCGATTGACGTCAGACTTCCGTTGGATGCACGAACTTCCATCGGACCACCGACGAATGTCGGACTTATGCTGTACCACCAACTAATGCCTGGATTTTTGTCAGACCACCAATTGACTCCCAGACTTCTGCCAGACCACCAACTGACACTAAACTTCCGCCCAGCCGATCGTCGTCGAACTTTCACCTGACCCCCGTTTGCTGCTTGATTTCAACCAGGCAGCAACTTTATTCTTATAATTACCATTGATGAAAGCATTTTTAGCATAAATATGAAAGAAAAACTAATGATAAACACAACATCAAGAATAAGATAGCATAATTATATAAATAAGCCACATAGAAGGTGATTTCATCAAAGTCAACAATGTTTGTTACTTGTAAGATACCCAGAGCTTTAATTTTACAAATCTATTCACAATCATCAACAAACATTTGTATATGTAAATTAAGTGAATGACGATCATGAGTTCAGCTTAAACCTTTAGGACCTTCATATATAACTTACTATTATCAAGAATCAAATCTGCCTTAGTTAAGTGTGAGGCTCACGAAAAGTGGAGATAACATAGTAAAAGTTATAGCTTTCTTAAATATATAATAGATTACTCATTCTTAGTTGAACTTTTTGAAGTTAGGGGTGTCAATTGGGTCAACAGGTCAGGTTCGGGTCGAACATGACTTGAGCCGGCCATAAACAGGTCGACACTAACCTGAACTGGTTTTGCAAACGGGTCAAGATAATCAACCCGGACCGACCCGTGTGGATTATCAGTTTGACCCGACCCGACCTGTTATTTGGCTCGACGGCTCTTAGGTGGGACGGCGACATCTCAAGCGAGTTCATGATAGCTGTAGAAATATGGCGTATAGTAGGCCGGCTGTGGCATCTCACGTGGGTTAGGGACAGCGGTAACCTGCAGCTCAGGAAGGATGGCAGTAGGACCCTGAGGCCTGAGAGATGTGACGCGACCCTGATGCTTAAGTGATGCGATTGACATGACCATGAGTGGTTGAGCGACACAACCGAGCTTCCCGATCAAGTCAAGTGGGATTACAAACGGGTTGATTCGGTTTGACAAGCGGGTTTTTAGGTCCACTCAAACCCGAGCAATTTTTCAAATGGGTAAGAAATCCGAACCCGACCTGTTTCACAAATAGGTTGACCCAAACATGAATTTTTCTGTGTCGGATTTTGGGTCGTGTCAATTTTTGACATCCCTATTTGAAGCTTTCAATGTTAACAAGTTGGCCTTAGTTGAGCTTTAACTTTGTGAACCATGCCTGTGTAGCTTAATTGAGTCCAAAAGGAGCTCATCTAAGTCAATAGGAACTGTCCGATGCAATATCATGATCGAGTATTAAGCACATAGAAATTTTTATTCTCAGGGTTACCATTAATGAAGGCATTTTTTACATTTATTTGAAAGAAAAGCTAATTGTACAATACAACGTCAATAATAAGATGTTTCTCAAAATTAAGAGCTTATATGTTGTGTTAATGTGTTGTCTAAACTTAGGGATTAATAACTCTTTATAATTCATTACTAAAATTACATAAATATGTTTAACTTGGACAAAGTCACCTTATTTCTATATATTTTTTTTAATTTTAATGTTAAAAATATTATCACATATATATTTATTTCTTTGCCATCACAATACTAAAACTTGCAAGAAATCCTTTTTATTTTATAAACATCTCTCATATATCATTATCATAATTTATGTTAGAAAATTATAAATATTGTGAGATAGAAAATTTATGATGATAGAGAGAGTGAATTTAATATATTAGCTTTATATAAAGATTTATCATACACATATTAAAATTAAAAGCGAACACTATAATCTTTTAATCATATGAGACCCGTAACCTCTCTCATATATAAAAAAGAGCTTTATACGTAGCCTTTTTGAAAGAGAATTAAAAAACATATATCGAACAACTTGTATTGATCCCCTTGATCATAAATAATTTACCAACATTTAAATATCTTAATGATGTAAAAATTGGTGGATTTCAAACTATTACGTTGTCTCACCAAAACATTTGATTTGACACAAAGCATGTTTCAAGTATTTTATTTACGCTCATTCAAAGTCAAATCAGATCAGTTGCAACATCGATGAATTTATCTCTTTGAGACATTTAGTTCCGCCATAACCTTTTCAAAATTAGAATTTGTTTCATTCTGACTTTACTTTCGGGTTTAGTCGCTCAGATCCTTCTCTTCTTTTATATCTTTGCAATAATATTCAAATCTATATTTTAATTTACGTCGATGACATTTTGATTACAGGGAATGATCCAACCACCATCCAGAAGCTGTTCGAGCAGTTTCACTCCAATTTCAAAATCAAACAGATGGGCGAAGTATCACTATTCCTTAGCATCAACATCACCCGCACGCACTCCTGGTTATTCCTCAGTCAACATCACTACGCACAATCAATTCTTCAAAATGCAGGTCTTGCCGATTGCAAACCTGCACTAACTCCAATCACCCCAAAATCCACCACGACCATGTCCTCCGCACAACCTTACCCAGGCCCTCAACATTATTGCAAACTGGTGGGCTCATTACAATACATCTCAATCACCCGACCTGACATCGCTTTTGCTACAAATTACATATGCCAACATATGCACTCGCCCGCAACTCGGGACATCAAAATTCTAAAACATTTACTACGCTATGTCAAAGGAACTTCCCACTTCGGCCTTCCGCTTACTACAGGTGATCTTCAACTTCGAACATACACAGATGCTGATTGGGTCGCCGACTCTCAAGGCAGAAAATCCATCTCAAGATACTACACTTTCTTGGAAACACCCTCATCTCTTGGTCGGTCAAGAAGCAGGTAACAGTCGCTAAATCAATTACAGAAGCTGAATACCGCTCTTTATCATCCGCAACCGCCGACTCCGACTCCGAAGACTCATCATCGAATTTAAAATTCCTAAATTAGCTTCCACCATGATCCACTACCGCAAAACATCTTCAATAGCACTTGCAAACAACCCAGTTTTCATGCTCGCACAAAACACATTGAAATAGGCTTTCATTTTATACGCGAGCACATGAACAACGGAGCAATTTCTATTTCTCACATAATCTCATCCGATCAACTAGTAGACATTCTCACCAAAACTCTACCAGCCGCTCGGTTCCAAGATCTTTACCACAAATTGACCATTCATCCAATAAATGATCAATTTGAGGGGGCATGCTAGAGCCCTTCCATAGTCGTACACGTGTACCATTGTCATACATTTTTTTTTCTTATTCTGTACCTATTGCTATATATAGGGATCTATTGTATAAACATTTCTTATTAGAATACAATACAGTTTTACTTTTTTCCGTCTCTGTCTTCCTCTGCCGTTCCGTCTTATTCTTATTCTTTCATGTTTGCAATTCTTTCATCAAGTTGGCCTTAGTTGAGCTTTAACTTTGTGAACCTTGCATGTGTAGCTTAATTGAGTCCAAAAGGAGCTCATCTAAGTCAATAGGCCTTGCCTGATGCAATATCATGATTTAGTATTAAGCACATAGAAATTTTAATTCTCAGGGTTATCATTGATGAAGGCATTTTTTACATCTACTTGAAAGAAAAGCTAATGGTACAATACAACGTCAATAATAAGATGTTTCTCAAAATTAAGAGTTTATATGTTGTGTTGATGTGTTGTCTAAACTTAGGGATTAATAACTCTTTATAATTCATTACTAAAATTACATAAATATGTTTTACTTGGACAAAGTCACCTTATTTCCATTTTTTTTTTAATTTTAATGTTAAAAATATTATCACATATATATTTATTTCTTTTGGATGTTCATTTGAAGCTCAAACATTTATTATCTCTTTGCCATCACAATACTAAAACTTGCAAGAAATCCTTTTTATTTTATAAACATCTCTCATATATCATTATCATAATTTATGTTAGAAAATTATAAATATTGTGAGATAGAAAATTTATGATGATAGAGAGAGTGAATTTAATATATTAGCTTTATATAAAGATTTATCATACACATATTAAAATTAAAAGCGAACACTATAATCTTTTAATCATATGAGACCCGTAACCTCTCTCATATATAAAAAAGTGCTTTATACGTAGCCTTTTTGAAAGAGAATTAAAAAACATATATCGAACAACTTGTATTGATCCCCTTGATCATAAATAATTTACCAACATTTAAATATCTTAATGATGTAAAAATTGATGGATTTCAAACTATTACGTTGTCTCACCAAAACATTTGATTTGACACAAAGCATGTTTCAAGTATTTTTTTTACGCTCATTCAAAGTCAAATCAGATCAGTTGCAACATCGATGAATTTATCTCTTCGAGACATTTAGTTCAGTCATAACCTTTTCAAAATTAGAATTTGTTTCATTCTAACTTTACCTTCGTAAATTTTCAATTCAAATATACATCATAATTATTTTTTTATATTAATACAAATACATCCCATCACAACTTTCTTTTGATTAAAGAAAGATGATTAATATAATGATAGAATTATATATAAAATTGTGAAAGAATGAAGAACTTAGTGATTATAGAACAATTACACTTCACTTTACCCTTTAAATTAATGGTCCAACAACTTGCATCCACATCCACAGCAAGCAATGCCGTCTGCGCCATCTCCGTCATCTCCGCCGCGCCTTCTCTACAAAACTGGGTCAAATTCAATGCCACCTGCACTAATTTAGCTGCCCCTGAAAAGTGAAAACTTACGCGCATGTCTCCCTCTCCGTCCAGCTGCCGTTCAAATTAGATTTTCATTTCTTCCAAAATCGCCCTCCTCCGTCTCCAATTTCTTCTTCCAAGTCCAGCTCTTTATTCTATCTCTCTCTCATTCTCTCTGCAAATAATCTTTTTTCTAGCCCTAATCGTGTCCCTCGGTCTGTCTTTGCATCTACAGTGCACATTCAACATGTTGACCGCGTAAATCTCCTCTTTTTATCCCCCTGCACTTCCAAATTGCAATTTTTACATCTTGCCTGGATTTCCGGACAAAGGAGAAGAAATATACATTTTTTTTAAAGAGAAGAACGTGCCTGGGTTAACTCTTACGTGTTCGTTGCCCTAGCCGATCCTCCGATTTATTTATTTATTTTTATTTCAGCACAGGCGGCGAGAAGAGGGAGGAGTCGTCGGTGAAGTTTGGCGGAAATGTGGGAACGGTGCTTGGATGAGCGCCGTGTGCGGAAGATCCAGCGAGCTTTCCGAAGAGGAAAGCTTACTCTTTTGTGCCTCTTCATGACCATCATCGTCCTCCGCAGCACGCTAGGCGCAGGCAAATTTGGCACGCCGGAGCAGGATTTCAATGATATCAGCGACCGCCTTAGATCTCACCACCGTGTCCTCATCGAGCAGCATTCCTCATCGTCGTCTTCCACCGCCGGAGTCGCAGAGGAAGAGGACCCGCCTCCGGATCCCTCAAAGCCTTACTCCCTCGGTCCGAAAATCTCTGATTGGGACAAACAGCGCGCTCGCTGGCTCCATTCCCATCCTGAAACCCCCAACTTTCTCACGGCGACAAAACCCCGCGTCCTTCTCGTCACCGGTTCCTCGCCCAAGCCGTGCGAAAACCCTGTCGGCGACCATTACCTCTTGAAATCGATCAAGAATAAGATCGACTACTGCCGCGTTCACGGCATCGAGATCTTCTACAACTTCGCTCTTCTCGACGCCGAAATGGCCGGTTTCTGGGCCAAGCTTCCCCTCATCCGCAAACTCCTCCTCTCCCACCCTGAAATCGAGTTTCTCTGGTGGATGGATTCCGACGCAATGTTCACCGACATGGCCTTCGAGCTCCCCTGGGATCGCTACGTACCTTATAACCTCATCATGCACGGCTGGAACGAAATGGTCTACAACGACCGCAACTGGATCGGTCTCAACACTGGAAGCTTCCTTCTCCGGAACTCCCAATGGTCGCTTGATCTCCTCGACGCTTGGGCTCCCATGGGTCCTAAGGGCAAAATCCGCGAAGAAGCCGGTAAAGTCCTTACCCAGTTTCTAAAAGACCGGCCTGTATTCGAGGCCGACGACCAGTCCGCCATGGTCTACCTCCTCGTCACCCAGAAAGATCGATGGGCCGATAAGGTCTATCTCGAGAGTGCTTATTACCTCCATGGATACTGGGGAATTCTTGTGGATAGGTACGAGGAGATGATGGAAAACTACCACCCAGGTCTCGGCGACCATCGCTGGCCTCTTGTCACACACTTTGTCGGCTGCAAGCCATGCGGGAAGTTTGGAGACTACCCTGTCGAACGATGCCTTAAGCAGATGGACAGAGCCTTCAATTTTGGTGACAATCAGATCTTGCAAATGTATGGCTTTACTCACAAATCATTGGCGAGCAGGAAGGTGAAGAGAGTTCGAAATGAAACTGCTAATCCGCTGGAGGCCATGGATGAACTTGGATTGCTTCATCCACAGTTCAAAGCAGTTAAGAATCTGAATTCTGAATCTTGATTTTTCATTTGGCTGCAATGTGTTTGTGGTGGGATAGAGGATCTCTATTTGGTTCTCGATATGTTTTTTGGTATCAACTAATATATGTTCTATATGTTTTAGTTTATTGATTTATCTGCTTATTGTTTTTGGGGGCAATCATGTTGTTTTCCCTGTAGATTTTAACTTGGAAATTTGTTAATTTGGATGATGAGCTGATTTGATATGGTCTGAAAGTTCTTGCCTTCCAGATTTGTCTGTGCGAATCCTCATTTGGCTTACTTAGCATGCCAAAGTTTATGATTTTGATCCGTTCAAAGCTAAGGCCTTTGAGAGTTGTGATTTTGATTATCATTTTTGCTTTTGGAGGCCAGAAGAAATTTTGATGGAATAGTCTTTTAGTGAAGAAGACTTCATCTTCTCTCAAATTTGCATCTTGCTCACTATTCTTTAGGAATTAGGAGATTCTTCCCGTTACCATTTTTGCCACTTCAACTTTCTTGTTGTGTTTAGATGGATTTATGGCAGGGAAGCGTGGTGGTGGGAGAGATGTAGTAGTGGTAGATAGAAAAGTGTAATTTGTTGGCCACCATAAAAGCTCTAGGGAGTGGGAGGGGGAGGAAGAAATGTGTGTGTGTGTGAGCTGAATTTAAGAATTAGTTTATGAGCAACTTTTAAGGGTATACCACTTGATCATCTCAATTTGAAGAGAGATTATTCTGTGCGGAGTCCAAACGCATCCGGAGGCCAATTTGGACGTGCCACATCATGCAATGCACTGTGCATTGGATGATGTTACGCATCCGGAGTCCAAACGCCTCCGGACGCGTCCGGACACCGCATGTAATAATTTTTCCAATTTGCGGGACTTTTATAATAACAATTCATGTGTTGGTTGGGGAAACTAGGTTGTTTGAATCAAGAATGGTAAGTAGTTAGCCTATTGCATGATCTTGATAAAAGACTTCATTGAGAGACAAAAAACTTCATTGGTTGCATCTTGGATTGGATAACAAATTACCATCTCTTTGATGAACTTTTGCTTGAGTTGACATTCAACTTCTTGACTTGAGCTTGTTGGATAGCCTAGAAGTTGTTGGCAAACTCCAACTATAAGCTGAACAAAGTCACTTATGAGAAAAAACCCATATGTCTAGAGTGAGCAACAACTGCTACTATTATCATTTCTCATATGGACTTAATGTTATGAAGATTCTCTAATCTCCACATTGCCTTCCTACCTCTAGTCATGATACTATTCTGCAATATGTGGACCAAGTGATGGGCATCACTTTACATTTAGGTTTTATTTGGGACGGTTTTTTATTACTTCTTAAAGCAGTTTTTTAGTACAAAACTTAAAATTTTTGTGCTAGAAACTGTTTTAAGAAGCGATAAGAAAGTCATCCCAAACGAAGCCGTAATCACTTCCTAGCATGTATCATGGTCACTTTGCTTGTCCCTGCCAGAGGAGGTCACCCATGGCTCTTGTGTTGCACGCTATCCATGTTAGAACTGCTTGAAACCAATCAAGTGCCTACATATTCCTTTTTCTTAATCCTTCATCCACATGACATGAGATGGATTTTAGCTATATCAATACTCAGCCAAATTATAATGAGAGTGAGGGAGTACAAAATTTTAGAATAGAACCTCCGCTTTAGCCAATATTAAAGACTAGATACTAATATTTCTCAAAATCAATTTTAAGATACGGCAGAATGCTATACATTTAATAAGATGTTTGATGGAGAAATGTTTTGTAGAGTTTTAGAAAAGAAAGTTGTATTCAAGTCTTCAAGGATATATATATATGTGTGTGCGCGCGCGCGCGCGCGCAAATTTTGTACTAAAAAATCACTATATAAAGTCATAAAAAAATCGTCCCAAATGAAACATAACTAATTGATTTTTCACAAAATTACTTCCAGGGGCACTTCCCTATTTTAAATACATTGTTGATTATTTATCATTGAAACCCCCACTAATTCCATTTGCTGGCCATCGCCACCACTTATTATCAAGGATTAATTATTCTGTGTGGATGTCGAACACCATCCGGAGATCACCCAGAATGCACGTCACCCTTGAGCTCAATACTGCTCGGTACCGATCAATACCATTGCTCGATACCGCTAACATGAATCATTTTAATTAGTCTTCAGACGATGTTTTGTCCTGCCTCCGCACAAAATAATTTCTCGCTATCAAGAGCTGCTAAAAACTCCTAATCACCGCCGCTATCTATCATTGGTCACACATCACCAATATTCAATAGCCATCACCATCGTTAGACTTTTACATTACAATCATCTTACTCAAGAAAAAAAATAAATATATTTATTTTACACTAATTTAAACAATCCTAAATATTTCAAACATATTATACACTTTTTACACTATATTTCTTTTCATCAAATCAAATAACCCCTTAAAAAATTCCTAAATCATCAAATACAATATTTGACTTCCATAACGATTAAATAAATTCCCCTTAGAAACTTGTAAGCTAAGAGGAACTAAAACAACATATTGACCAGAACAATTAAACAAATTTTACATTTGCAAATCGGACCCTCCCTCCACTTCAAAACGAATTATATTAAATTAATGGGCTAAAATGGAAAAAAAAATAATAATAAAATAGCCAATGACGACGAAACACTATGAGCTGGCGACACCGATCGGCCACCGATTGGTCCGATTCCTTCATTATTGCTTCCAGCTCCATCCCGCCTTGGCCTCTCCGTGCCAGCTGTAAATTCATTCGAATTGACGATTCTGCCCCTGTTAATCATCCAAATTTCCAACCCATTCCGTGGGTCCCGCGCGCTGCTCCACCGACAATGGCCGGGCCGGCGGTATCAGACATCGACGGCGAAGGGGCTTTGGTCGCGGCGGCGGAGGAGAAGATCGTACGGTTCCCAGAGCCCGTCGAGCTGGCAGGGACGGCCGGCGTCGAGGCGAAGCCATGGCTTCCCTTTACCGCTCCAATGGAGCAAGCTCACCGGGCCCGGATGTAGATCCCGGCATAGCCCCTCTACATTGTCACCGCCGAGACCGTGCTGATTCCATCGGTGTTCCACTCCCTTCACCTCGCCGGCGAAAACTAGAAGGAAAGGAGGCAGTGATCCCAGCTCGTAGATCCTCGCCACCTTCTTCTGAACCTCCATCCACCCCTCTAACCTCCTCGTGTATCCCCCTGCCCTCCATTTCTCCAGATCCATCACCATCACGCCGGTGTTGAAATAACACGGCCGGCGCGCACGCCCGTCGAGAGCGTGGGGGAAGTCGGGGTCCGACCAGAATCGGTCAGTGAAGTACGCCGTGAAATTCGCGTGGCAGTACTCAGGTGCACCGAGCACGTACGGACCAAGCTCAATGCCCCAAAGACGCGCGACGTCGTCTACGACCACGAGGTCCGAGTCAAAGTAGATGACGCGGCGAACTGCCCGCGGAAGAAGATCCGCGAGATAGATTCGCGCGTAGTTGAGCGGCTGGTCGAGAGCTCGCCGGACCGAGGACGAGATCTTACCGCGAACCAGCGCGTCATCGAAGCGGTATATTCGGAACGGAAGGGAAGGGAAGGCAGCGGCCACGGTAAGTCCGAGGTCGTGGAATGGAGAAACGGCGACGAAGTGGAATGTGACATTCTCCGGGCAGGATGTATGCTTCAGGATCGATAGAACGCCGGCGAGGGATCCCCGGAGGTAGGTTGCGTCGAGGGTCATAGCGACGTGTATGGTCGGCGCCGCGGCGCAGCCGCGGCCGTTGCGGAACGCCGGGGCCTCGCGAAACGCGGGTAGATCGACGGTGTGTAACGGATTGGTGCAGCCGGTGACAGCGAAGAGCACCACCGCCGCCATTAGGCTTACGGAGGTGCGGTAATGGCGGGGCATGTGGCGGCCGGAGGAGGCGGTCCACTAAAAACGAAATTGGCGGAGAAATCTAGGGTTAGGTTTATGAAATAGGTCCGCTGAGTGCGGGACAGCGGAGTGCAACGAGCTTGTGCGATTGTTCTGTTACGCGCTAATAAGTAGTGACGGTGAGTGCGATGTACGTGCACGTGATTCCAAATAATAGTTTTTAAATTACTGCTCGAGCGTTGTTGGTCTGTAATTGTTGGCTTTCAGGACATATCCAATAAAAAATATTTATTCTAAAATAAAATTCAAGAGATTATTACTGTACAGATAATCATATAATTTTATTTTTATGATTATAGTTATTATTCATTACTATACTTTTACTATTCATCACTGTGATGTTATTTTTCATAGAAGCAAATCAGACGGTTTCCTGTGTCCGCTCTCCACACGTAATAATCTCTCCTAAAATACACTAACATTTGAAAATACGGTAATTCATCTTCAATCTAATTTCATTTTATAGCATAAAAAATATTTTAGATATATTCTTTCTTCAACTGAAAAAATGATGTTTGGCATCACATTGTTGATATTGCAAGAATAGCGCAGGTTTTTGTGTTTGCACTACCAAAAAGTTAAAATTTTCACAGTAGTTTCTAGCAGCTAAAAATTGGTATATACAGTAGTAAAAAGTGATGCTAAATTTAATATTAAAATTTGATATTTTTCATGATAATTTATAGCAGCAGTTTACAAACCGCCACCTAAGCGCCGACCGCACCAACCACATTATCAATATCGCCTTTCTTGACCAAGTCGACACATTCCATATTTGACTCCTAAAGCAGGTCGCGGACGACAAACATTGGTTTAGTGTCTGGTCTGTGATAGCCTTATGATATGATTAGGGTTGAAGGGATTAATTCATTAATTTTAAATTTATTTAATATTTAAAATTATTTTTTAAATTATAAGTATTTTTAGGATGTAAATGAGTCAAGTTGACTCAAGAGTCAAATTGAATTTTACTTGATAGATTTCTCATGATCTTAGCTGCATGAGCTAAGCTTGAGACAGCCTCTACTCAACTCGTTAGCTCGGGCTTGTTAATATAAGATATATTGAAATATATATTAGAATTATAAAGCTAAAGTATAAGGCTATTATAAATACTTAAAAAACTTATATCACTTTTTATATCAAATGATATTTTATAACCTATCTTTTAGATTTTCATTCTTTTTCTACTTTTATTATAATAATGCTTGAATCATAATCTTTTTTTCTCAATCTGACTCCCGAGTCATCCTGAACTCGTAGAATTAAGCTTGAGTTTAAACTCAAACTAGATTAATTAATCGAATTTAAGCCCAAGTTAAAGGTGACTCGAGCTTTGCTCAACTCATTTACACCCCTAAGTATAACTCTATCTGAATAAAGTTATGCCTTGATGTGAGAAAATTTATTTTATGTCTTGTAATTGTCATAATTGATCAATTCTACTTATATATATATATATATATATATTTGCTTTAACACAAGCTCGAGATTTATGTGAACTTATGTATAAGAGAGAGAAAGAGAGAGAGAGATTTGAAAGATCCCCTTTAAAATATATTAATCATTAAATTACTAAATTTTCTATACAATAACAATAACAACAACAAGTCTTTATCTCAACACCTCGATGAATCCTTTTTCTCCATTAGATTATCTTATGAGTTAAATTTTTATTTAAATCTAAAAAAAATATTATTAAAGTCATTTAGTGCTTAAGAAAGATAAATGAACAAATCTTTCAATTGTGGATAGGAATATATATTAATTATGTTTTGCAATTATTTGAGATTACAACTTCAATCAATCTTTTTTTATTATTTCACATAGGAATATAATGAATTGAATAAACCAATAAGTTTATTTTTTTAATTTTTTTAAATAGCTTAGTAAATAAATTTTATTCTTCATAGTTGACTATTGATTTATATACTATCAATTTTGTTAAACATAATGAAGAAGACACATACTTTTAATTATTTCCTACAAATAAATCAAACTTCATATTTAAATGGAGAGAAAAATATACATTTATGGTTTTTTCATAACACACTTCTTCTTATTTTAATTTGATTTTTATGTAGAATTTAGGTTATCAATTCACTATATTCCTATGTGAACTAATTAAGGCTTCGTTTGGAAAAGCTTTCGTACTGCTTTTTAAAACGGTTTTCTAGTATAAAAATTCAAATTCAAGAGATTTTTTAACTAAAAAATAGTTTTAAAAGCAAGAAGAAAGTTGTCCCAAATGAAATCTAAAAGTGTTACTTGATATTTTGATCTCAAATGTTTGTAAACCCTAAGTAAGCATAATCTTATCCCACTTAGAAGATTTATTAATTCATCTTAGTCAAGCACCTAATAGCATTATTAAATGCTATAGGTTTTAAGTTAAGTTAAAAATTGGCCACTTAATAAAGTAAATGAAGAACATTATAAACAAATAAATAAATGAGATAAACACGTAAGAAATACAAATTTTGAATTGAAGAAAATATTATGGTTGCACCATAAATCCATAATATAGAATTAATTTATGATAGAAATGACGAAATAATGCTTATTAATCATGAACTTAAAGTTACAAAGACGAAAAAAGGAAGAGCATAACTAATTATTATTTTATGCCCAAAACTATTTTTAATTATCCTTCTTCTCCTTCTTAATTCTCCAAAATATCTCCTTGATGGCAGTTACTTAGTATCTTCAAAGCTACCTTTTATGCTTCTCTCTCTCTCTCTCTCTCTCTCTCTCTCTCTCTCTCTATCTATCCTCCTTCTTAATTCTCCAAAATATCCCCTTGATGGCAGTCACTCATTATCTTCAAAGCTACCTTTTATGATTATCTCTCTCTCTCTCTCTCATAACCCCTCAAAAACAACTGTAAATAGCTCCCTCATGATTTTGAAACTACTTAAAAAAAATATGTTTGATTTGTAGCACTACAACACTCTAGACAAGTGCCTCAACACTACTGTTGAATGCTCTGCAATCATTTTTTGTTTGGGGTACCATCCGCGCATTATTAAGCACCTTAATGTTGCATTAACAAGTGCTTCGGTGCTTCAAGTCAAATGTTGTATGTAATCATTATTTCATGAACGTACATTTTCTTTATCCTTGGCTGCTATGCTGCTCCTATTCACTTCATTATTTTTGCCTCATCTACTCATGTCTACAATATTCATGAATTTGTCATTAAAATAAGTTAAATTAATTGGTGAAAACTCATTATTCACTTAGCAAGTATTGATATTGCTACCCATGTTGGACCAATTTAATTCTAGTCTTACTTAAATGAGTTAATGTAAACAATCTTATATTGGAGAAACTTCATTTGAATGAAAATAAATGAACCAAATTTTGTAATATAAAAAAGTATCTTTGCCTTTGCTTGTTCAAATTTAAGAATTGAGAGAAAAAAAAATTATGATCAACAATTTATTATGCTTAGTTTATGCATATTTATTTGAGAGAGTTTGATTGGCAATAGAAGGTTTCTTATCGGCGTACCTTTATGCAAACATATTGCTCAATTGATCCTATGTACAATCTTATAACACCATTATTTAGTTATCAACAAACTTTCATTTCATTAGCAAATGTTGTTTGAATTTAAAAACATCCTTTGACTTTTCAAGAATGCTTGAACACCTAGCTAATAGATAGGTAGGCATAAGCAATCATAAATTGTATAAAAAACTCTTGTGATTAAGCCATTTGTTCATAAGCTGAAAATGTTACACATAATTATTTATGCAATCATTTATGATACTCATAGATGCTATGGGAGGAGCATATAATCTTTCTAATCCTAAAAAACAATAGATTTATGTTTGAAGTAGTTCATGAAGTTTAAATTGACTTAATTTGTTAGTTCAATGCATGAATGCCTTTAAGGCAAAAATTGGTTGATGTAAGTAAAGAAGATGCTTGATGGCATTACATATCCAACTAAATGGATGATGGATTTATCAACATTTATTATAACTAGACATCGAGAACTTGTGGATAGCTAGGAGACATATCTAGTTGGAAGGCCAATCAAATAATAAGATCATTTTAAAGGAATTCACATATATGTTTATAGCCTAGTACTCATACAACTACTTAGTATGACATGTAGGTGGAATTTAGCTAGTTCGTGTTTACATGACTTGGCCATATAGAATTTTAAGTTCATATTTGTTGAATTAGGCTATTAAATGTTGAAAATAATCCTATATGAAGTGCAATGATATTCATTTTTTTTAAATATTCTTGAGTTTGAGGGACACAATAAGTAGTAGTTGGTGTTCTTTCAACTAACAACTTACAAGATGCAAATACAACATATGACGCTAATATATGACAAGTAGAGAATGACCAAGAGAGATTAGGGTTGTTAAAAAAGAGAAATAAGACAACAAAAGGGAATGGAATATGAAATCCTCCAAAGAAGAAATTTAATTCCCCTTATAAGACGTATGAAGGGCACCAACCTTAAATTTGATTATCTAAAATGTGGTAGTGCTATCAATATAAGGACTTTGGATATTATATAAAATTATTATAATCGAAAGACAACTGAATTGTCTATATTGGTCCATTAACATAGTGCCAATACACTAGTTTAATAGAATAATTCAGTTAATTGGAATGTTGATAAGTTAGATGTAGAGTCATTGCATTGAGCCATTAGGAGACAATATAAGAGACATATGATGTGATAAGGATATTATACTTTCTGAAGTGCCTCATGGTAACATTGATTAATTTGGAACTTTCATATTCAATTCACATTGAAGTCAACAAATAGAAAGATGGGAGTTTGGTATGTTCCTTTAAGTGTTGGCTGGATGATTTATTTATTGATTGTAGGTGTTTTTCTAGTTTTTTTATTAGTATAAAAATTAAGCTTCAACCATAAAGAATTCTATATTTATTGATTGTATTACCAGTGATAAGCTTTTATTGCTCATCATGGACTATTTGAGTTAGTATAGTCCTAATATTGACCATCAAGAGAAGAATGTGAAGTTTAGGATTACAAACCAATCATATTCAATATCTTTAAATGATTTTGAAGGGATGTAAAACCTATTTAAGACATGTTAAATGTCAGAGAATTTTAAATAATAAGAGGATATATATGCCTATTAAGTAAGCCGTCTTGATGTCTTTTCCAATGACCAAATTGACTTTCTACCTAGCTAAAAGATAGAATTTCTAATATATCCAGGACTCAAGATGATCTCTATCTCTAATTTTCCACACTAAATGACCATCCCAAATATTTTAAAATTAAAGAACAATCTTCTAATCGTGTTGAATAAATTATTCATTTGAATGAGTGTATCTCCTTTGAGAGAACCTATATTATTAAATAAGAAGAAAAATAAAATCATACAACTTTGTATGAACTATTGGGAGCTAATTAAAATAGGTAAAGGCCAAGACAAATACCATATATAGAGAATGCATAAATTGTGTTGTATCATTTGTATGAACTATTACATGGTCCTATTTGTAAACAAAACTTTTATTTTCATAATTATTCGTTCATTAACGACTTTAGTCCTTAACTGAAAATGTTCTTTTGATTCCTATATATAATATATAATTAACCATATAATCTTGCTCTTATGGGAGATCACGATCCCTATAGTTAAAAAAAACCATATATTTAGGCTTTTTGTAAGCTATGCAAGGGGAATATTTGGTTAAATAACCCATCTTCATTCCATTGATTATATGAGTTTGTAGAATGTATTGATAGGTGATGATTAGTCTTCTATTAAAATTCTTTTTTTTTAGTCTTCTATTACAATTCATTTGATATATTTGGTAGCTAATATATTTTTGATAATTGTGTTGATGAAGATATTTATTATCATTTATGGTCAAAGATTGATGAGTCCATTATCCATCCTCATGCATTCTACTTTAAAGTAGTTTATGAATTGCTCATAATGATATTTTTGTTTTCAATTAGGTGATTAATTAAGAGCCTTATCATAATTTTTTCATGAAAATTACTCTTCAGTTCACCTTTTTCCTACTTAATCCTCGATCTTAACATATGCATATACCTCTCTTTACTCTTATCACAAAAATTTTGCAGTGTTGAGAAACTCATTCTTAGCATTGGAAATTCTTGCACTATCAAAAAGTGATGTAAGGAGGATCTTTGATGCAAAAAAAAAAAAAACACACTCATTTTCTTTTAGTAGTGTATGTGGTATATACGGAACCATGGTGTTTATATGGCTAGGAAAAATGTAGTGGTGAGGGATTTTAGAGGTTAGTAGAGCAATTATAGATGTAATGAATTTTTTGTGTGGACTTATAGATGAAGGAGGGCTCAAGTTTATTAATTAATGGACTAGGTTGAGAGGTGATGGCGGTGTATTAGGGCTCCTGGAAGTCTGGAATAACCTAAGAGGTGAGTTCATATTTTATTATTTTATTTATTTATTACAATGTTAAATTTTGTTTTTATTAAATGTTATAATATTGGAGTTTCATTATTGGCTTATTTATTGATTATGACATCTTAAAGTATACATATGCATGGGATATGCAAAATGATTTATCATGTAAGAATTTTTTAAACTAGTTGAACAATGCATGATAGTAGGTGTATTCTAATTATTTTGATTTATTGTGATAACATAATATTAATATAATGAAACATGCAACGTATTCTAATTATTTTGATTCCTCATGACAACTTAGCATAAATATAATGAGCTATGTGTGTATGCAAGTAACGAGATTATAGTGTATGATAATGCTACTAAATTAGAAAATAAAAGGTTTTCTCTACTTTCCTCAAACATTGTTTTATCTTAGACTAAGAGATGAAGTAAATGTTAAAACTTGTATGTTAACATTGTAAAACAACTTCTTGGCCTAGAGCCAAACTCCATTTCTTCCACTTTCCCATCATTCCATGCCTACTCTCAACCTTCACCAACGTCGCAAAATCCTTCTCATATATCTACCTCACTCTAAATAAGCCATGGAAAAGCTTCTTCTATCATATAAGGGCAACATATTGTTCCTTTATTAAGACAACTTCTTGGCCTCCTTAAAAAAAAAAGTTCCTCATATTATCTTTACCCCAATCAATTCCTTCCAATTGTTATCCTCACCTCACCACTCTATAAATAACAATATCCCACCATCCCTCTCAATTACTATAATCACCTAGTTCAATTTGTTTATGGATACAAGGAGAGTGTGTGGAAACCCATGAAGGTGTTGGGATTGGCTTAGGATTTATGGGGAAGTACTAAAGCAGAGATATATGTTTTAGGGTTTGATCTTGTAAGGATTATGACAATGGATATGGGGGGAATTTTGGATTATTGTGGGATTGTAGAAGGGGTGAAGGTAGTAGTTAGTGTTATTAGCCTTCAATTTCTCACCCAATTCCTCTATTTTAAGCCCATCTACCCCAATATGTGAAGAATATTATTTTATTTCCTTGTCAAGTGAGGATAGAGCATTAAAAGAGTGGGCAATAAAGTCATTGGTGCTAAGCAAAGAGATCTTTAATGAAGCAAATGATAGTGTTATGGGACATAGTCAAGGTCCAATACATAATGACCAATTCTTTTCATATAAATAGAATATAGTAGGTGTGTTCTAATTCTTCTAATTTATTGTGATAACAAAATATTAATATAATGAAACATGCAATGTATTCTAATTCTTTTGTTTTTTTGTGACAAGTTAACATAAATATAACAAGCTATGTATGTATGCATGTAATGAGAATATAGTTTAAGATAATGCCACTGAATTAAAAAATAAAAGATTTTCTCAACTTTTCTCAAACACTGTGTTATCTTTGACTAAGAGATGAAGTAAATGCTAAAACTTGTATGTTGTATGAGTAAAGACTAGACTTATGCAAGAATACTTGACTTATCAAGCATGAATAATAGTTTAATTGCCTCAAGGTTGATTATATTTGTAATAAGCTGACTTACATTTCTTAACAATTTGATCAACTTTGTTACATGCTTGTTGCCTCATTATTTAGCTAAAATCTACTCATTTGGTTCTACTATTAATGTGGTAGGCACTTTTTTTAACAATCATATTTCACTCTTCATTGTTATTTACTTAGTTTACTTCTAGGTTATGATTCATACTAAGGTATGGTTGTTGGAGAAGAGTAGGAACTTACTAGGCCTAAATGATCAGTCCTTCTCACTTTATTTTATATTTAATTATTTAATCGATCGGTGGTCTTATTCTCTTTGGTTATATTAATATATACTACCTTGATTCTTACTGTTAGTATACTAAGAATCTCATTTAGTGACTATATCTCACTCTTTATTATTGTCTCACATCAAAGTAATGGGTCATATTAAGGTGGGCGGTAGATGGAGATGATTGGGAGTCGGTTATTCTATTATTTTTGTTATATTTAGTCAGTCAATGAGACTCAGTGTCTGTAAGAAAGTTTGAATATTTTTAATATGAATATCATTTTATTGTTACTCAATCATATATGTCAAATGCTACAAATTTTTTTTCTTTCCCACCAAAAGAATATTTCTCATTTGTTCATGAAAGAATCACTCATATTCCCTATAAATAGACCTCTCTTCTTACTACAATTCAAGATAATCATGTTCAATGATAAAACATGTCCTTCAACTTGTACTTGATAAGTCAACTTGAAAGTTTAACATAGCAGAGTGATATTGAGTTCTTATTTATAGACTTTTTATCTCGATTGACAAGCCAAGTCAGTTTGGTTTATCTATATTAGGTTTCATTGATAAGGTTCAAATTCAATTGAGCTTCCATGATCATATTTGGGATAAGATAATATTAATGAGCCGTTTATGTGTAAATAAATTTATGTAAAAAGAAGAATGTTCCTCCATATGCATCCTTAAATCCATCATGATAACATAAATAAATTCACACAAAGCTTATGGGGCCTATTTCCTTTTGCTTATATAAATTTCTATATGCAAAAATATGAAGTAAATAATATAGTATTCTTAATCTAGATCCAACAAATTAGATTTGTATTTGATGTTTTTAAAACTCATATACCAATTTTAATTTATCCTGATATTTCATACATCCTACTAAATAAAGTAAAATATTTTTTTTTATCGAAATCTTTACTTAAAATTTTGGCTTGGCTACATCATCATTAACAAAAAAAAAGTTCGAAAAATTAAGAAATTGATACGTACCATCAGTTTTTCTATTTATAGAATAAATTATCATAAATAGAAAATAAATTAATAAACTCATATTTTTATGCTTAACATAATAAAATTATTTGAAATTCAATAAATCATTAAAAATAAAATTAATAATTTTACTATGTTTTTCAAAATTTATGCGAGATTAATGTAAATATAAAGATTTAGTTTCTTCTATGTCAAATATTAATATCACAAGCAAGGGGAAGGTCTGGCTCGACCCTAATGAGGTCAGCGAGATTTCCATGGCAAACTCTCGTAAGCACTGTCCCTCTATTTTCTGCAGTTTTCTTTCGATCAGTGTGTTGCACACCCCCTTCCCTTTATCTTTAATCAACCTCTACGATGTGTTCGAACCTTAAGATTATGATTAGGATTTAGCCTTCCCGAATCATGCTTTTCTTTGGATATTTCTGCGAGCAATTCGGTAAGATTCAAAGATTGCCTCGAGCTCTGATAATTGTATGGAGAGAGCTGATGCGTTATCCTTGCCCTTTTGATGTATCGCTCTATTAGTATTTCGTTTACTGCCGTATTTGCTGACAACTATGAATTTAACTTATCCCACAATTTGAGTTTCAGTTTCTTCATAAGAAGGTTAAAATCTGTAAGTTGTTGGAAAATTATAATCTTGTATTACTGTGTGCTAAATTCTGAGAAGGTTCACATGAAGTGTTTGCTTATATGTAAAATGCTGTTGGTTTATTAAATTGCAGGCCAAAACATTAGGAAGTTGGTAAAGGATGGTTTTATTATTAAGAAACCTATGAAGATTCACTCCAGATCTCGTGCTAGACGCATGGCAGAAGCAAAGAGGAAGGGACGCCATTCTGGATATGGTATGGCTTAAATGTTTTTCTAGAGCTTGACAGCATTTGGGGGATGAAACCGTTAATGTTGTAATTGATTTCAAAATCTTAAATTCTTGCAGGTAAGCGCAAGGGTACTAGGGAGGCTAGGCTACCCACCAAGGTTCTGTGGATGAGGAGGATGAGGGTTTTGAGGCGTTTGCTTAGGAAATACCGGGAAGCTAAGAAAATTGACAAGCACATGTACCATGATATGTATATGAAGGTGAAAGGAAATGTTTTCAAGAACAAGAGAGTTCTGATGGAGAGTATCCACAAGTCTAAGGCAGAAAAGGCAAGAGAAAAGACATTGTCTGACCAGTTTGAAGCCAAGAGGGCGAAGAGCAAGGCGAGCAGGGAGAGGAAGATTGCTAGAAGGGAGGAACGTTTGGCTCAGGTGACCTAATATCGTATTGCAATAATTCCCTTTGATATGAATTGTATTTTTTAGCTGCTTAAAACTTTTTGCCGAGTGTTTTTACCCTTAATATGATTGCTTTTGCAATTGGTTCTTGGCTTCCATTTATCAATTTATAGCTAAATGTTATTATTATGCAAGTTGTCTCACCAGCATATGTTTGCTGTCTGGTGTCTGAAACCGTTCTTTTGCTCATTGGTCTAAAGTAAGGATGAGTGCCCATTTCATCTGCACATTTTAAACAATATCTTTGCATGTTTTACTAGCAAATTTAGATGTATGGATCTGAATATGTATCTTTCAAATTTCAGCACTGAAATTTATACATGGTCAACTGTGCTTCCCTGATAATGTATTCATTTGAATATTTACGTATTATATTAACTCTTTAGTTACCTAGGTTTTGTGGGATGCGTTCTACTACTTGCATTGAAAAATTTAGCCATTTTGCGTCACCATTCCTTTGTTTTTGAGTTTCTAAGTGGCACAAAAAGTGAGGTTTTCTTTTCTTGTATAATCGTCGATCTAGTTTCCTTACAAGTCATTAAACACTTATAGGAGTTTTTACTTTTATTTCTGATCATTTGATTTTAGCTTTTCAAGTTTGTTTCAGTAAATTTTATATTACTAAGTAGTTGCTTTGGATTTTGTCCTACTTTGAATGGCATTTATATTCAAGCAAGGTAGGTTTCGTGCTTGAACCTTGTACGCCCATCTTTTTTTCTCTTTCCTCTCTATAGCATGATTATAGAAGTTGTTTCTTAGGTAATGGTACTTATCAGTTATCCTTAAATTGTAATCTTTAGCAATCAAATGAAGAACTCTTTTAGCTTAAAAAGACTAATTGATGCAGTACGTTTTCAGAAGTGTACTGTTACTTTAGGGTTCCAATAATCTAAATAAACTCAGAATGTTAATAAATGGAAATATTGGATTTGTACATGACTGTTATTAACTTTATTTTTACTTGTATGAATTTTCTGCATTTTCCTGCTTACTCATAAGTGATGTTTTTGAAACAGTTTCTATCCCACAAAGGTCCTATTTGCATTCGCAGCCTTGTTTATCTGTCTCTTAGAATGCCGTGAAACTTCAAAATTAATTATTCCCCAACATAATTTAAAATTATAATTATCATTTTTATTCTTATAAATATTCCTTATTATCAAATGTGATTTCTAAGAAATATAAATTTCTTTGGAAGCACAAAATTCGATTTGCTGAGGGCTTTTAGTGTTGTATGGTGCTTTGGGTGTTTGGTGATCATTTTACCTTAAAGTTCGTCATGTGTTTTTGAAAGCACTAGTGAACAAAAATAGGTGGTTTGGACAATAACGATGTTGTTGATTGCCAAGTTGTGCATGACAAAGTTGAAAATGTAAAGATGGATGCTAGAAAGGCTAGATTGAGCATTATTATATTTGATTGATGATAATAGTAATATATATTGAAGATAAGTTATAAGAAATCTTATTAAAGGTGGAGCCACCCTTCATTCACGTTGGCACTTTGGCAAGGCTAGTCCAGAACCATAATTCAGACCTCCTAGGAGGTCATAAAGGTGTTCCTAGACAAGGGTTGTGCCTTAAGGCACTAGGCAATAAGGCAAAACATATTGCCATTCCTAGCCAAGGGTTCTTCCTTAAGGAACTAGGCAATAAGGCAAAACATATTGTCTTAATATGAGAAATGTGTAGTAATTTGAAACATGCTTTTCTCATGAGAGAGGAGTTAACCTAAGGGCATTAATTTTGGTAAACTAATCCTTTTTTGGTCTGTAGATCGTATTATAAGTCTTAGCAATAGTGCAACATTCTCATACAAGCATATTTGTTACATGTTCTCAATTTTACTATGCTTAAATTGCCATTTTTAAGGGTTATTGCCATTTATGACATCTTAGGTTGAGCAATGAGGGTATTCCTACTTTCAATCTTGTTTGATTCTCAAAGCCTTACATCTTGAGGTTTTATTTGGTACAATTATTCTAATTTTGTGCTTTGTGTTATATGAAAGGAAAATTGCATTAGAATTAGTGATGCATAAGCTTGTCCAGATACTTATATGAGATTAGAAAAAAAATACACATTGGTTATTATTAAGTTTTTTTTCAATATAAACCAAATTTGAACATTTAGATAGCATCATAGCATAGAATTTTAAGCAAGATAGTTCAATTAAGAAGATTGTTTTGAAAGTTTTAGCAGTCTAAAAATAGATTGTACATTGTTAATGAGACTTGTTGGTGGAGTGAAAAGGTATAATGGGTTATTAAAAATGAAATATACTTTTAAGACCAAATTTTAAAAATGAGCATGTTTAAAGCTTAATTAAGCAAAAGAAGCGTGATCATTAAAAAAAATTAATAAGGAGCAAAACACCAAATAATTGGTATTTTCTATAGAAAATGATAAATAATTAAGAAAACGTCAAATTATTTGGCGCTTTCCATAGAAAACACCAATTAATTTGGCATTTTTCATAGAAAATGCTAATTAATGGAGAAAAAGTCAAATCATTTGACGTTTTCTTCATTGGAGAGAGAAAGAGGGAGGGGCGGGAGGGAGAGAGAGAGGAGGGGTGGGAGAAAGATAGTAGAGAGGGAGAGGGAGGGGAGAGAGAAAGATAATATAGAGGGAGAGAGGGAGAGGGAGAGAGGTGACATGGGAGAGGAAAAAAATATTCTGTGCGTATACCGGACAAAGTCCAGAGACCAATCAGAATGCGCCACGTTATTTTTTTGCTCGGTACTGAGTGATGTGGCGCATTCTGGTTGGTCTCCCTCTCTCCCATCTTTTCTTTCCCCTCTCTCTCTTTCCATTGTCAACTCTCTCTCTCTCTCTCCAACTAAGAAAATGCCAAGTGAGTTGACTTTTTCTTCATTAATTAAAATTCTTTAATGAAAAATGCTAAATTAATTGGCGTTTTCATGAAAAACGTCAAATAATTTGACGTTTTCTTAATTATTTAGCATTTTTATAGAAAACGTCAAATTATTTGGTGTCGTTGCTCCTTTTTTAAATTATTTAATAATTATGCTTCTTATGTTTAATTACACATTAAACATGCTCCTTTTTAAAATTCGGCCTACTTTTAAAAGGTGGCAAAAATTGATTACTTCTAAGGTTTTTAATAAGTATAAGAAATTAAAAGTTTTTTAAAGATGATAATCAATAAAGTAAATTTTTTATGATTTATATGATAGGTTTGGTACTAAGGAGAAAATAAATAATATATATATATATATATATATAAAGGTAAGAGATTAGCTAACTATGGTTAGATATATTAAAAGTCAAGATAATATGATTATAAAAAAGGATGAAGACACTAAGAAAACAAAAGGGGGAACAAAACAAAAAAACAAAGAAAGATAGAAGAGGGGAGGAAGAAGAAAGACGATGGCTAGGAACAAAAGGGGGAACAAAAAAAATAAAGAAAGATAGAAGATAAAACGAGAGAGAAAAAATAAGAACTGCGAGCCTTGGACTCTTCCGAAGACTGACGGGTGATGCTTTTGCCCTTCTCCAAGGGACTTCAAGTCACGAGCCCGGACCCATCCTGCTGCTGGTGAAACTCCGATTCCGTCCCATAGGAATCTCACTAACGCTCTCTCACAAGAAGAACACAAGTGTGAACACAAATTTTTAATATCAATTCTTCATTATCATTATAATAGCTTAAGGCCCTATATATAGGCCACAACATAAGAAAAACTCAAAATTTCAAATTTGCCCCTTGGGCCACAACACTCACATAAACTATCCTAGGGGTAAAACAGGAAATACATCAAATAAGAATTAAAATGCAGAAAATAACTCATAATTGAAAATTTAAATAATGGCCGTCGATTTACAACGCCGCTTGTGATAGATGCGCCAAATCTTCGTACTGATGTCCGCATCATTCTCCCCAGGTGGGAGAATACTCGACTCCGTTGAGTAAGCATCACAACTGCTCATGTACAACTCTAGATTGTTATTTTGAAGCACTAAACCCAATGACCTTTTTGCAACGATTTTCAAACAGCCCCGATTGCCCACAATGTCAACTTGCTTGTTGCACTTTAGCTCGCCAATTATGAATGTCATTTCCAGAGCTTCATCCACATTCTCCGTTATAGGAGTTTTAACCGGGTCAGGAGAAACCTTTGCTTCTGTAGGAGTTGCAATTGAATCAACCAAATATCCCTCTGTATTATTTGCAGTCACGCATTCCTCCTTGCCAACCAATTCATCTTCTTCTTCATGTTCTTCCTTGATCGCCTTATGTTCCTCTTTGATTTGCACAGTGATTGGGAAATTAAAAGCTTCATTGGCCTCCATCCATTTGTCCGCTCTATCCCTTATCTCTCTGTCTCTTAGTGCCCTTTTTCTATCCTTTGAGGAAGGGGATCTTGCAGGTGTGTAAAGTGATGGGTCAGTCCTACCTCGCACTAGGTTATCGAGTCGTTCGATTGTTTGACGGTGGAAGTCTGCTAAGTCTGCTTGATTTTCCTTGAGATGTTGACTAATGGCGCCCAGTTGACTTGCCGCCCAGTTTAGAGTTCTTCCAAGTCGATCTTAGTCCATGCTCTGATACCAAACTGATGTAGAACAGGGAGGGAAGTAGTGGCAAGAACGAACTCCAAGCGCCCTCCCGAAAACCTGAAATAATTCCTTCTAGAAAATCTGAAATATATTTAGATTTCTTTCAGAAATTGGCTGTAGCTTTGGGAGGAAGAGGGCTCAATATTGTAATGAATTTGGAGAGCTTCTAGTGGAGAAATTCCCACGTGATGGCCTTGGAAGATTTCAGCCTTGATGGTGAAGAGAAAAAAAAACTGAGAAGAAATTCAGATTTTGGAGAAAGAGATAAGAGAATAGCCTCGAGCCTCTTTCTAACAATCTGAAAAATTATTTCAGATTTCCGGTCCAGAAATCTGAGAGGAGATCTCATATTCTAGTTAGTAAGGAATTGAAAATTGGAACAAGGAATTACAACAGCAATTGCATTTGAAGTAGGAGAGAGGGAGAGAGGGGAGAGACGGGTGACAGGAAAAAGAGGGAATAATAATGTGTTTTTTATTTTGTTTTGTTTTGTTTAGCTTCAATTATCTTTGTTTTTGTTTTGTTTCTTTTATTGTCCCCGTAGTCGTATTCATCTTGTCATCTTTCCTCCTCCCCGCTCAACCCCTTAGCCAAACCTCCATACCAAGCTCCACGAATTTTCCCCATAGCCGCCGGCTACCTTCCCCCATTAGCTCCTCCACCGCCGGCCATTCTTGTTTGTCTCCATGAATGAGGAGTCGATGTCATCTTAAAGCTTACTTAAAGAGTTCAAATAATTTAGGAAATTATTTTCATATTCAAATTTTGAATTTCAATTAATTTCCTAAATTAGAAAGCTATTTTAGGAAAGTATTGAATCTCATTCATGATGTAATTCAAATTTAATTTGGGTGATTTAATTTTGGGCGGTTTTTAAAATTCAAATCCAACTAATTTGAAATTTGAAATCTTTCCTAATTTGCCATTCCATTTTTTAGACAGTTTTAAATGACTTCTATTTGAATTTCAAATTGAAATAGGACTGAATTATTTCTTTCATAAACCCCAAACCCATATTAAGTATTCACAATCTAATGCATTAAAACCCCTATTCCCCCTTGCATGCCGCCAGCCCACCTCACCTCCACCTTGGCATTCACTCATATTTATTTCCTTTTCTCCCTATTTGCTCTAGCCGAAATATTCAAAAGGTTCAATTTGAACTTTCAATTCAAATTGGATTTAATACCATGCTTTCCTAATTCCAATTTCCAAATCAATTTGCCTTAATTTACATCTCCCGTAACTCCTCAATTAATTCCCTTATCTAAGGAATTAATTAAGGAATTCAAAATCCATCCCTGACTCCTCCCCTCACCCCCTCATTCCAGCCGGCCCCTTCTCTCCCTCTCTCCCATTTCACGTGTAATTGCTACTGTAACTCTTGGTTCCAATTCACAATTCATACTACTTGAATATGAGATTTATCTCTCAGGTTTTGAATAAAAACCTGAAGAAAATTTCAGATTTTGTGAGACAGTTGGAGTTTGTCCATCTTCCATAGCAAAGCGTGACCCGTTCTACATCAGCTTGGTATCAGAGCATGGACTCGGATCGACTTGGAAGGACTCTAAACTGGGTGGCAGGTCAACTGGGCGCCATTAGTCAACATCTCAAGGAGAGTCAAGCGGACTTAGCCGACTTCCACTGCCAAACAATCGAACGACTCGATAACCTAGTGCGAAGTAGGACTGACTCACCTCTTTACACACCTTCAAGATCCCCTTCATCAAAGGATAAAAAAAGGGCACTAAGAAACAGAGAAATAGTGGATAGAGTGGACAAATGGATGGAGGCCAATGAAGCTTTCAATTTCTCAATCACTGTGCAAATCAAAGAGGAACCTAAGGTGATCAAGGAAGGACATGAAGAAGAAGATGAATTGGTTGACAAGGAGAAATGCGTGACTACAAATAATGCAGATGGATACTTGTTTGACTCAATTACAACTCCTACAGAAACCAAGGTTTCTCCTGACCCTTAAAACTCCTATAACGGAGAATGTTGATGAAGCTCTGGAAGTGATATCTATAATTGGTGAGCTAAAGTGCAACGAGCAAGTTGACCTTGGGGGCAACCGGGATTGTTTGAGAATCGTTGCAAAAAGACCATTGAGTTTATTGTTTCCAAATAACAATCCAGAGTTGTACATGAGCAGTTGTGATGCTTACTCGACGGAGTTGAGTATTCTCCCACCTGGGGAGAATGATGTGCACATCAGTACGAAGATTTGACGCATCTATCACAAAAGGCGTCTTAAATCGACGGCTATAATTTAAACCTTCAATTATGATTTATTTTTATGAATTTTAGTTCTTAATTAATGTATTTCCTGTTTTACACCTAGGATAGTTTATGTGAGTGTTATGGCCCAAGAGGCAATTCTGTAATTTTTGATTTTTCTCATGTTGTGGCATATATATAGGGCCTTTAGCTATTGTAATGGGATAAAGAATTGATATTAAAAATTTGTGTTCACATTTGTGTTCTTGTGAGAGAGCGTTAGTGAGATTTCTATGGAGAGGAATCAGAGTCTTCACCAGCCGCAGGATGGGTCCGGGCTCGTGATTTGAAGTCCCTTGGAGAAGGGCAACGGATCACCCATCAATCTTTGAAAGAGTCCGAAGAGTTGAAACAATTAAGAGGAGGGAGACGGTGAGAAAGAAAATAGAAAATCTGAAGAAAATTCCAAGTGAGGCTAAGCAGGATTTAGGAAATAATTCCAAAAAAAAAGTTGCGGAGGAATTAAATTAAAGGTGGGGACGTGGGGTGTTCAGCCAAGATACGAATTCTCAATTTTGGCAATAAATCCAAATAATCCATTAGGGGCCGGTGGCATGAGGTAACAGAGGAGCATTAAAAGAGAGGATTTAAGGCTTCTTAAAGTGGTTTAATGAGTTAGGAAAGTAATGAAATAAATCCGATTTCAATTTAAAATTCAAATTGATTTAAATTAAGTAGTTTCCTAAAATAAGATGACAAATTAGGAAAACTTTTCAATTGTCAAATTTCATGAATTTGAATTTGAAAGCTAGATTAAATATTTTCCTAATTTAGGCGAATTAAATTAGGAAAGAAATTTGAATTTTAAACAACTTGAATTTCAAATTAATTCCTAATATCATGCACCCCTAATTAGGAAAACCAAGAAGAGAGGGGAAAGGATGAGGCCGGCGGCTAGGGAGCCATGGCCGGCGGTTTGGAGGACTTTCTGGGGAGATGTGGCCGGCGGCTTATGGTGGAAAAAGGAGACGACGATGGTGGACGTAGGTGGAGGATGACGACGACGGCTAGGAACAATAAGAAGGAACAAAAACCAAACAAAGAAGAGATAAAAAAACGAAAGATAGAAGATAAAACGAAAGAGAGAAAATAAAAACCGCGAGCCTCAGACTCTTTCGAATACTGACGGGTGATCCGTTGCCCTTCTCCAAGGGACTTCAAATCACGAGCCCGGACTCATCCTGCGGCTGGTGAAGACTCCGATTCCTCTCACATAAACTATCCTAGGGGTAAAACAAGAAATACATCAAATAATAATTAAAATGCAGAAAATAACTCATAATTGAAAATTTAAATAATGGCCGTCGATTTACGACGCCGCCTGTGATAGATGCGTCAAATCTTCGTACCGATGTCAGCATCATACACCCTCGCTGTACTTTAGCTTTGGTGTTTTCATACCTTTCTACTCTTGTGGCTCATGCTCAATGCCTCTAAACCATAGGCGACCATTTGTGTTGTGTTCCTTTGTTTATTCAATTAAAATTACTACAGTTAATCCTTTCCCAATGAATGAGTTGAATTCAACCCTACTTTGCTTAGAATATTTGAGAGGAGACGCCCCATTATTGCTCGTCAGCCCCATGGATGTTACAAGTTAAAGCTTTATTATGTTAGTAGATTGAATCCTTCGAGACGAATAACCATGAGATCTGATTAAGTTCACTTAAATTCCCCCCAGCATTTTTCATTCAATCATACTCAAATTTAACTACATGCAAATCTAACATTGTGCCTAAGCATCCTTTCTTTAGAGCAAAAGGGGTAACTAATTATGAAGGTTTGCACCCATTAGAAGTCTCAACCTAGATCTAATGTATGATTGTTAGCCTCTCTATTGGGCATTCTATGTCCAGTGAGCATTGCTTCGATAATTTTTCAGCTATTGCAGAAAAATCCCCAGTCTTCTACAAGAGGGTTTGGCTAAGATAGCAGAGACACCTATTGTTGAGGATCGTTTTTGTTTGAAAAACATGGTTCAAAATGTTGAACAAGAACTAAAATGAGAAACTACAGCTTCATTTGGGACGGCTGTCTTACTGCTTCTTAAAGCGGCTTTATAGTTAAAAAAATTTAATTTTTGTACTAAAAAGCTACTTAAGAAGCAGGAAGAAAGCCCGTCCCAAATGAAGCCTAAATTGGCATTTCAACTCCCCTCAATCAGAGCATTTATTTATGATTCATTGCTGACTATCATTTGTAATTCATCCTTCTTATTCGACTCTCTTCCTACTGCTAATTTTTGGAGAATAACTATCTAAAAAAAGTCTTTAGCAATAATTCTGACTTTTTTTCTTCCCTCCTAGGGCCCTGGAGAAAAAGCACCACCTGCAGTAGCAGCTACAGCTCAATCATCCGAGTAAGTCTTCTTTTTAACATCCTATGTTATCACTCAGGCTTCGTTTGAGACTGCTTTTTTAGTGCTTTTTAAAGCAGCTTTTTAGTACAAAAATTAAAAGTTTTTACTAAAAAGCTGCTTTAAGAAGCAGTAAGAAAGTTGTCTCAAATGAAATCTTAGGCTTCGTTTGGGACGGCTTTTTTATTGCTTTCTAAAATGGAGTTTTAGTACAATTTTTTTAATTTTTGTATTAAAACTCCGTTTTAAAAAGCAGTAAAAAAACTGTTCCAAACAAAACCTTAGTAATCTAGGATAAAGCAAGCACTCAGTACTTGTTTTGTTGCAGCTCTCTCCCCAAGAAAACAAAGAAGTGAGCTTAGCACTGACTGAGACGATATTCTGAAACATGGAAATTAAGTAGATTTTTACAGAGTCTGGTAGTTCTTAACAGTCTAGACTATGTGAAATATATTTTTGATATTTTCCCCACCCTTTTATCAAACTATGAAACAGTGTATGGAGATAATGCATGTTGATTTCAAAACCCAGTTTTTATTTATTTATTGTTACTGTGATCTTAATTTCTTTTAGTTTCAGCTCTGACATCTCTGTTCAGCTTATGGCTTTCATGCTGATGACTTCAGGTGAAGTAGCAGAATTAAGTAACTTTGTATTATAGTGTTTTTTGGGCATATTTGGGTTTCAAGATTCAGGCTCTGTTTGGAAAAGCTTTCTTACTGCTTAAACTTAAAGCAGCTTTTTAAGTGTTTTTCTAATCTCTTTGGCCTTTAGTGAGGCTGTTAATGATAGTTAACGGGGTGTTATATTGCATAAATAGTAAAATTTAAATATTAAATACATTAATGATATAATTTTAATAAACCTCTTAATACCATTTTGTGCCAAGAATCATGATGGCATCAAGGAATTGAGCAATGATTTCTGAATTCTTAGTTCGTGCATAAGTTTACATATACTAGTTTTATTGCACGTGCATTAAATACACGTGACTAAAAATTTAGAAATCTTCATATTATTAAAATGTAATAACATTATCATTTTTGAAAAATAAATTAAATTTATTTTCATAAGTAATTATAATAACTACTTATTTTAATCAAGAAATAGATATTTTTGTTAAAATTATGGTAGAGAAAATATATTAATATTATATTACAATTTAATATTGAAAAATACATTGTTTATCTTTATAGAATTAATGATGCAATGAAATAAATAGGAGCCATGAGTTGATAAGAGGATGAGCTCGAAATATATCAACACAACCAAAATTTCATTAATATAGCAATAAACAACTCAAACTAATAAGAGTTGAATTAAATTCCTTAAATTTTAATTTGATTCATAGACTTTTCATTTGACCCTTCTCAAATTTCTATCCTTTTTAGATAATCACTTAAACATCATGGAGGAAGAAAAGAAGATATTACAATATGCTAGATGATAGAACTTCATAGCCAATATCAAAGCTCTATTATTTCCAATTCAAGTAACATCTCAAATAATGGAGATGGCATAGTCCAATGCATCCATCAGGAAATTTGCAATCACGAATTATATTTTCTAATAATAATCTTGTTTTGAGTGAGAAAGATAATACAAACTTGCATCTCTTTGCCAAAGTTATATTTTCTATTAATGACAAGTTCCACAGCAAGCATTAGAACGATGACTCTGACATCTCCAATGATTGCAAAGTGAACATAGCTCAATAAGTCAATTTTATGAATTGGAAACATGGAGTATGATTGATAAATTTGTTAGAAATCCAAACATTTGATGAACAAAGTACAATTTAATATTAGTGAATCTCTAGATAAATTGTTATTCATACTGTCATACATCATAAAATCAATATGATAGACAACCAACAAAAAAGCATTTGAATTTAATAAAAGCAAATATCATGAAAATAATTCCTCTGAGAACCTTAATGCCCATCCTAAAAATACCTCCACTTATTCCAAAATCTTCGACAAATCTAATTATGAATAAAATATTAGAATGAATTATATCAACCTTTTAATGCAGAGTCTGAACCCATCTTGTCATAGTCCTCCTTTTATAAAGCACAAAAGTATGTGGTACTTGATAAATCATGTCAAGGGATAAGAATTTATTTGAAGTACGTCAACTTCATGTCTTCATGTACAGTTATGCTAATTGGAACTAAGATGAGTGGAACTACAAAGTTTTAAAAAACATGGTAAATTGGAAAATAAAAGACACCAATTGGTCAAGTTCAGGAAAGCCTTTAAGTCATTCCAAAAATAAACCACTTGTAGCTCCCACAACACATAAGAATTAATCTCAAATACTGCAAACATATAACAGTCTGCTACCAATACAAACTTTAAAAATAAAAGTATAATGGGCAACAAAAGCCATTACCAATTAGACAAAATAAAAATTAAATGAGGGAAAAGCAAGGCTTGATTATACTAAATTACTGTATGAAATAACTGTTAACTAAGTATCTATCTGCAATTAAAAACCTGCAACAAGGATAAAAAATCCACTGCTCATCTAACATAAAAAAGGGAATCAAGTCGCTTACAATCTAAATGATCGATAATGCATCAGAAGAAGCAAAAGAAACAAAGCAGACAGAATTCATTATCATAAGGCTGACCCCAACTAATCAAAATAAAGGTAGTTGACGATCAAAAGATAGCATTTTTGAATAATATAATGCACATAGACCACAAATCTGAACAAGCTATGAAAGAAATGTGCTCCCATACTCTTCCAACATCCAGTAACTTCGTCTCTGAAAGTTCTCATCATCTTCTCTGTGTGCATAATAGCAATGCAAAACGTCTACGCTTCAAGCCTGGAATTTTTTACATGTTGAAGCAGCTTATTACTCTTGAGAAGGTAAGTACTTAGGAGAAGTAGATCAAGCAGTTTGATAACTATATATTAAGTTTATTACTCTTAAGCAGTAGATCAAGAAGTAGATGAAGCATCTTATTACTCTTAAGTTTTTGGAGCGGATTCAACGTATTAAGGAGTATGATTTTGCATTGAACACGGATCAAGCAGTAGGTAAAATCCTTATGGAAAAACTAAGAAAGCTAAGCATGTTTGATAACTGTATAGCCATTTGAAAAGCAGTAACTTCACAGCCGACCAAAATTATAGGTTAATGGTTTGCAATAAGACATTTCAAAGCCTCACAATATACAATGTAATACAAACAAACCCTCAACCTTTTTCAAAGCCTCATAATATAAAATTTTTTTTATGATGTTATCTCAAACATCATATCACAAAATAAATATATCAACACAAATTTTAGTAAACATAACACAAACACAAAATAAATATATAAAATTTAAAATCTTCAAAAAATAAATTTAAAACTTCTTATAAATATGTTTAAGTCAAAATAAATGATGCATGTAAAGTATGACCACAAATATAAAAGATTTTACAAAGTAATTTGATATTGTAAAGAGGTTAAAAATGATATTGTTGCTTTAGATAGTTCAACTTAATTTTTTTTTTAATAGTACCCAATCATTTATTTTGATTAATATGCAAGTTAATGTGAAAATTATTTTGATTGTATGGATTTAGCTTTATTGCTACACGCATGAGGCAATAAAGATTTGTCCTAAATAGATCCTTACTCTGCCCTATTTGTCCTAAAGTTTATGTTGTTTTTCTGTTTTCCTAAGGCTAGCCATTTTACTGCTTTTAAGAAGATGTGTGTGATATTCTATCAGATCATGTGACAGTCTTAATTCTAGCGTGTTTTCAACTTCTTTCGACAAGAAGCCAGATAAGTTAACAATCTCATTAGATTGTGACTCTGGTTTACTACAAATGCACATTTTTTAGTTACAAATTTTCCTTTTCCAACAAAGCTATAATGTCCTCAGCTTATGGCAACATCTATTTGAAGGAAATCTAATATCCATCATTGTTTTCATATTTCACAAATACCAATAAACCATTATCATCATCCTCCATTTCTACAATATATGATTTCCCATCGTTCCTCAAGTGTTGCAAAAACATTCCACATTAACTACTGGAAAGTAAATATCTCTTGAATTATTTAAGAAGCTCCCATGGCCATTAGTTTTCAATTCCACTACCATTTTTAACAAGTTCAAAATAATCAATGAATTCTAAAAGATGGAAGTTGAATCTGTCTGATTAACTCTTACAGACTAAGCTTTTTCGACAATATTTTCTTTTGGCGTCTTCTAAACGAGCTAATGAACCTCAAATAAAAACAAATCATATCCAATAAAATCAACTATTGATTTGAGGCCAATGCTATAATAACAATTAAAATCTCTCTGTTAAGCATTTCCTGGTATAAACATTCACCAATTTTATGTCAATTCTAACACCAACATAAATTAGATTATATCTTCAGCGGACAGGATTTAAATTTACTTCAAGAGTGAAACAGGGTTAGGTACTTTTGGTGAAACAGAGGCACTCTGAGATGTTCTCAGAGCAAAATTAGGGCCCCTGGGAAAGAAATTTTTTGCTGCATTGTGTTGTCATACTTCGCTTTATAAAGGTGCTATGTGGTGAAATAATTTATCTATATCATAATATTTTATATTGGGTTTGTTTTAACATGATAAGATCATTCATCATCCCCTTTTTTATGGAATTTTCTATAAAATTTATGTACAGGTGATAGAGTTTTGTGGCTATGAGAAGTAGTGTATCTTGAAGCTAAAGATGTGTAATAACATAATTTGTTGCTATGAAAAAAAAAACGTAACTACATTATAGTAAAAAACGTTATAATATTTAGAAAATAACATAATTTGTTGCTATGAAAAAAAAAAAACGTAACTGCATTATAGTAAAAAACTTAATAATTTTTAGAAGGAAATTGTTTTCTTTGTTTTTTTTTTCTATCAGGAAGTACATTTGGATCATGGGTGGGCTATATCATGTGACAATTATCAAGTTTAATGGCATACACATTAACATTCAGTAATGTGTTGTTGATGTCTCTTTCTAGTAAGAATTTGTGAGCAACCAAACAAGATGAAGAGCATAACATAGTGAATTAAAGCAAGATAAAAAAATGTTCTAAGTAAAGTGCACATAAATGTAATTAAAAGTTGAGATCCTTTGAAGCCAGAAGAGTAGATATCCAAGAACAAAGTGCAAATAACAAAAGGAGAATAGGTGAGGAAAGCTTAAGTTCGTTTTTGATGATGCGAACCGTTTCCCAAGGATGGAGAGGGATAAAAGCTTAGACAGTCACTTAGAGAGTTTAGAACCGTTTCTGAAGGGTTCAACACTTTCATTACATGAAGATGTGTTATAGAAGTTGAAGAGATCTAATCGAGAAGCCGATTGTGGGACGAATCTATGGTAAGTTACAGAGGAAACGGAGGTCTCGACAGTTACAGTAAGGAGATGCGTACCACCTTAACGAGAGAGAAAGAGTAGTAGTGACCGAACGATGTAAAGACCGTAAGAAGATACAAACCGTAACTATGGAAAGCTAGGGCAGACGATGGTAGTGCCAGGCGGACTAAAGAAAGGTAACGGAGGAATCCTGAGAGCCGTGATTAGTAACGAAATAATGTCAGGATTAATTACCACAGGAAAAAAACATACCTCAGGTAATAAATTTTAATTATAATTAACATAGGAAATTAAAAAAAATATAACTGCTAATGATATAAATGTTTGGCCATTACGTCAACCTTTAATTAAATGTTTGGCCATTACGATATTTAGAATTAACTTGATTTAATTCTAATTCAATTAGAGATTCGAACAGTCAAATTATATTGAATTTATTATTAATTAAGTAGAACATTACTGTGAGACCTCGTTCCCTTACTGTTTCTCTCTAGATTGGATTTTCTCCCAGGATCGTCCGGGACGATATTGAGATCGTCCAGGCCGATCTGTACTGTTCAAAATATCGTCCTGAAAATAGTTCTGGGAACTGTCCAGGCCGATGATTTTAGTCTGATCGTCCCAGGACGATCTGGCGATCGGCCGGGCCGATTAGCTTTATGATATAAGAAAATCAGCTCGTTTTGAATATTTCACACTAAACATTTAAAGATTGATGATAATAAAGAGTGGATATTAATGATTTCAAAAAATTAAATATATAATATCTGTAAATTAAAAAAATTTAAGAAAATATTAACCGCTTAAATATTTAATAATCTTAAAAAAGGCACCAAACATAACCCAACAAATGGGGCAAATTATTGCATCCGGTCACCCGATGCGGAGAATAGGTTCGAACATCCAATAAAAATTTGTCACGTCACCTGTGCTTTTTGACTGCGCTTTTGACTTGCGCTTTGATTGCGCTGTTTGACTTGCGCTTTGACTTCGCTTTACCTGCACTTTACCTGTGTTTTGCCTGTGCTTTATCTACGCTTTAACATGTTTAAGTTAAAATAATATTTTATTAATATCCAAGCCTATCTACCCGTTCGGTTACAGGATGCAATAATTTGACGAACAATGGATGGAGACTTATCATTGTTCCCATTGGTCCCAATCGAGAGTTACACCATCGCGCTTCTCGCCTGAAGCCACGGCCCTTCCAAGATTCAAACTTCAAGCAAATCTCTATTCTCTTCTACAGAGATGCTGCTCCATGAAACAGCTCAAGCAGCTCCAAGCTCAGCTCACAAGCCATGGACTTCTCTCCGACACCCTCACCCTCTCCAGCCTCATCGCCTTCTGCTCTCTCACCCCTTCCGGCGACCTCAACTATGGCCGCCAACTGTTCGACCGCGTTGCCTTCCCCAACCGATTCATGTACAATACATTAATTCGAGGTTACTCTAACAGCGATACAAAAATGGAGTCTTTCGTCCTCCTCCGCAGAATGATGGCACAAGGTTTATTGCCCAACAACTTCACCTTTCCATTTGTTCTCAAATCTATTGCTGAAAAATCAACCCTTGAGGACTCGTTTGTGCTACACTCCATGATAATTAAGACTGGTTTTGCATCGCAGGTTGTCGTTATGAATGCCCTCCTTCATGTTTATGTTGTTTCTGGGCATGTTTGTTGTGCGCATAAGGTGTTTGATGAAATTCCTCAAAAGAGTATTGTTTCATGGAATTCAATGATTGATGGTTATTCTCAGATGGGTGATTATAGAAGCGGATTTGAGTTGTTTAAAGTTATGAGAGGTTTGGGTTTGGAGGCTGATGAGTTCACTCTAGCCAGCTTGCTTTCAGTTTGCGCGCAATCGAGAAATTTGGAACTGGGCAGGGGTTTACATCATTTCATTGTGATGAATCGCGTCAATAAAGATTTGATTGTAAACAATGCTTTGGTAGATTTGTATGGAAAATGCGGGGAACTGATTTTGGCTCAGGCATGTTTCGATAGGATGCCGGTGAGAAATGTGGTGTCTTGGACTTCACTCTTCCAAGGTTATGCGAAGAATGGCTTGCTCGATCTTGCTAGGTCCCTTTTTGAACAAATGCAAGAAAGAAGTATTGTTTCATGGAATGCAATGATGGATTGTTATATCAGCAGTGATCAGTGTCAGGAAGCATTGCTTCTTTATGAGCGGATGAAGATCTCAGGTATTGTCCCAGATGAGGTAACTTTGATCAATGTTCTTTCTGCTTGTAGCCAGATTGGAAATTTAGTTGTTGGTAAGATAACTCATGAATACATAGTTCAAAACTTCACAAATCCTAGTCTCATCCTGCTGAATTCTATTATCGACATGTATGTGAAATGTGGCCATCTGGATGTTGCCTTAAGCCTATTTAATATGATTGAAAAGAAGAATGTAGTATCATGGAATGTAATGATTGGTGCTTTAGCAGTCCATGGGAATGCTTTAGATGCTATTGAACTCTTTAGAAGAATGACAGGTTATGGATTCTCTCCTGATGGAATTACATTTGTTGGTGTATTATCTGCATGTAGCCATGGAGGTTTACTAGAACTTGGCCACCATTATTTTGAAGCCATGGATGTTGTCTATAATGTTCGACATGAAATCGAACACTATGCTTGCATGGTTGATCTGTTTGGTCGTAGCGGATATATCGGTAGAGCGATCGAGTTCATAATACGAATGACGATGAAACCCGATGTTGTTATATGGGGTGCTTTGCTTGGAGCTTGCCGGATTCATGGTGATTTGAGGACTGGCTTACAGGTAATGAAACAACTACTGGAGCTGGAAGTTTACAGCTCTGGGTTATTTGTGCTTCTGTCAAATTTGTTTTGTGAGATGCAGAGAAGGGAAGATGTGATGAAAGTTAGAAAGCTGATGAATGAGGGAGGGGTGAAGAAAGTTGAAGGAAGGAGTTTAATTGAGGTAGGTGGCAAGATTCATGAGTTCCTTGTTGAGGACTTCAGGCATGAGAGCTCAAGCAACATTTACTTTCTTATGGATCAATTGACAGATCATATAATGTCTTCAGTTTCATTTTCAAGCTCTTTGGAGACATTATTACTCACAGAAGAATGAAAAGTTCTCCATTTCTTGTGGACATTGTTTCTATACTATGGTAGTAACCATGATGACTAATAATTCAAGGCTTTAATCGATTGATTGGATTGAAATATCATCAACAGGAAGATCAAAATTTTTTCTTATAGAGCCAATCGGAGGTGTTCATGGTTTCAAGGACATGACCAATGTATGTTGGAAGAAGAAAGATAATTCTGTGCTGACGCCGAACGCAACTCTACATCCGGATACTAATCAGAATGAGCTACGTCAGCGATACCGAGCCGCGGGCTTAGGTACCCGGATGGGGTTCCGCTTCCGCACATAATAAGTTTTCCATCAGATGGGGATCAGATCTTAGGAGCAAGTGGAAACAAGACATTTCCAAGCTTGAGATAGACCTATCAGCTACTTTATGACTAGTAAATGTGATAAAACAGTAAGGGAAGGCTAATTTGTTAACCTTTTATTAAGAAAACCATCCTTATGGTGTTAAGTGTTATATACTTAGGATTTGTTTGACACTCAATCAAAGAGTTAGGGGTTGATTGGGATCAGTTCTAATGTTATTTTTATTTTTGTGTTTTTAATTTAATTTTATTTATATTTTGATTTGAAATATAATGTTATGATTTAATGAATTTTTTTATTTTTTTAAATATTAAATAAATTGATTTATGTGGTGATAGTGATGTTTGCCAATGACTTATGCTGTTGTTGATAATGATTAAAGTTAGAAGTGTCAATATTTGACACGACCCGAAAACCCGACCCGAATCCAACCCAAAAATTTTGGGGGTTCGGGTTAGGGATTTTGACACAGTTGTAAAATCGAGTCGGGTTTGGATTGATCAGGAACACGAAATCAACTGGGCTTATACGTTTTTCATTAATTTAAGAGGGTTTTAAAATATTATTATGAATTAAGTAAATGTTATTTCCAAAAAATAATAAACTATGTTGCTCAAATTGAATTAAACTTTATTTATTTTAAATTCATTGAAGTAAATTTTATCTTAATTTGATTTAGGTTTAAATAGATCAAATTAAAAAAAAAAAAAAAGTAAAACATACCCAAAGCAGGTAAGGTTCAGGTTGACTCAGACCTGAAGACGGTCGGGTTCTGGTCCAAAAGATTGACCTGTTTGCAAAAACGGGTCGGGTCGTATAGTACCAGGTCAATTCCATGTTGAATTTGAAACCGACCCGTGATCTGTTTTTGACAGCCCTAATTAAATTTGCCTAAAAATAGTGGAGGGTGATAAATATGATTATTTTTAAAAATATCTAAAACAACTAAAAATTATTTTGAATATTTGTAATAGCAACTTGATTTATTTTTTAAATAAAAAAATATATATACACTAATGTACTAAACAAACATATTAAAAAAATAATAATTCCAAAAACACCCAATTTTAAACCCCATATTTCAAATATAGGCCAATAATGCACTCAATCAATCAGCCTGCTTCAAAAGGTTTTCAAAAGGTTTCCTTTTTTCACGTAGTATTTATTGAACTTAGTTTGGTCACGTGATCGGCACGTTTTGATCTCACGCTCTGGTGCTCAATTCATGATTCAATTAATAAACTGTTTATCGTAACGGTATCGGATGAAACCCGTCCATTTCCTTATCGGTGAAAATGACTGTAATACCCTTTGACTCATTAACCTGCTTAAGGATTGTGCCGGTATCGGCCAAAACCGGTACATTTCCTTAACGGTTACTAATGAATAATAATCGAGAAATTCGTATAAATTTTAAATGGTGATACGAAATGTCTATTTATGTTTGTGAATAAATCTATTTATTAATTATTATTTAACCCTAAAATTAAATAATATCTAATAAACACATAAGTTTTATTAAAATTTATGAACTCAATTATTCCTAATAATAATATTTTATGCTTAATTATTAATATTAAATATATAATTATTTGTGCTCAATTTCTATTTTAGGTTGATAAGAAATTAAATAAATAAATTTGAACAGGAGCTTATCAATCAAATCATATTCAAACTATGACTACACATTGTTGGTAATGATGAGCGACGAGCTCAATGACAAACTGTGGTCTTATAGTTAATGACATGCATTCATATTACTGGTAATGACGAGCACCGAAGTTAGCTGACATTGATGTTTATTTCAACGATGGCATGGATCAGCGTTGCTGATGACAATAGACGATGATGATTGGACGATCATAGTAGCGATAATTATTGGGATATTATGACTTAACAATCAGGGGCGGAACCAGCTGATTCTTAGGGGGGACGAATTCATAAATAACACATATACACAATGTATTTAATTTTGCTAGGGGACAACCACCTAAAGATAATAGTATTTTAATTTTTTTAGGGGGGGGGGGGTATTATACAGAGCTACTACAAACATTCAAATATACAGAAAAGCTCATCCAACATCTTCTTCTTTCTTTCGTCAAAATAATCATGTACATTACAGTGCATGACTATAAACGGAAAGTACAGAACATAACAGAAAAGTCATGACTGTACAAAAAAAAAAAATCAAAAGTACCAAAAATACCTAATCTCAGATCAGATACTGAACGGCTAGTCCAAAATCTCCTTCCCTTTCCCAGAACCTGAAAACCATGAACATAACCACAGTGAGCTAACAGCTCAGCAAGGCTACACTAGCCAATCAAAATATCCAAAAACCCTCATATCAAAATACTCACAGAAACAGTTTACACAAATGGCCGTACATAATTCAGATAATCATACATAAATCATATAATATCAAATATCAGACATAATTCAGATATTCGTCCAGAATAGAACAGATAAGATAACAGACTTCAAATATTCATACAGATCGGATGCTCAAATAAAAATCAAATAGCAGATACAGAAGAACTAAATCAAATTCGTATCACAGAATCGTATAAATCACAAATCACATTTTTCAAATCATATTATCAAATCACATATCAGATCACATATACTTGACCCAGACAGAATCTCAAAGGATTCTAGCCCCTTGTGCCTCCCTTCCCTGACACAGATAGAATCTCAAAGGATTCTGGCCCCTTACGCCTCCCTTTATGCTTACAGCACCAGAATATATCAGATATACAGAATTATCAGATCAGAATTCATTTTCATATTCCCTGACACAGACAGAATCTCAAAGGATTCTGGCCCCTTATAACTCCATTCTGATATCATTCAAATCATATCAAACATCAAATCATCATATACAGAGTAATTGAGCACATATAAAAATTTCACATTTTCGTATAGCGACTAACAACAGAAAGCCAATGAATCAAGAATGCACAATTTCATAAAATCACCAAATTAATAGAGATCGTGTAAAACGTAGTTTCAAGACTTTTCTTGTATTGAAACAATATTTTTCAACAACCAGATAATTTACTATTCGATAAAAACTCCACAAATTCAAAATATCCGGTGAAAAACTTACAGAAAATACTCAAAACATGCAAAATGACAATCTCTACAACATACCAAAAGTTACGCGGTAAAAGTTTTACCGGTAGAAAGATATACCCATTTTTTGCAAACGGAAACAAAATTTGAAACAGAAAATCCGTCAAAAATCACATTTTTTAAAATTGAGAAAGGCATAATGTGTCTTACCTCGAGTTGGTTAACTTTCCTAACTGCGACGAGGAGCCGAAAATGCCTAAAATGCGAATTTCCTCTTCTTTCCTTCATTTTCTCTCTCTCCTGCCCTTCTCTCTCTTCAAAAATATCACTATTCGGATATTTATCAAACTCGATCGTCCGGATGATATGCCCCAATCGTCCCGAGACGATCTCCTATGGATTCCAATCGTTTAGACGAAAATTGCTTACGTCCCTGAACGGTGCCCTCGGGTTGCCTTCGTATGAACGATAATTATGATCGTCCTGGGACGATGCTCTCGAGTTGCCAATGTTTCAACTGTTCGTCCCGAACGATCCCAACTTCGTCCGGACGAACCTGGAAGGAAATCTCAAATCAGACCAAAACATACAAGAAAAGAAAAAGAAGGATGTCACATCGAGCTTGACTTGTTCCATTGTAAATGAGTTTGAGCCTCTTGTCGAATAGCTCATCCAGCCTCTGCATCCGTGTCATCCGCTTCTGCATAGTCCTGTTTACTTACGCGTTGTTTAAGTTGAATTCGCCAGTATGTTTAAGAGTCGTTCTCGTCATCCCGTCGTCCGAGATCGAGCTACGCAATTGACATGACCTCCTTGAGCCACGGGATTGATGCGAGCACCTCGAGACCTCGAGACTCAAGTGCTGTCTGCCTCAAATAGGCATAATTAGCATGGTATTATGTTGGTATTAGTCGGGATTAGGATGGTATTAGGTGGGATTAGACACTTTTTAAAAATAAAAAGAATTTTAAGAATCATAATAGTGAATAGAGCCGGCTTGTGAGCTTGCGAACCGAGCCTCAATCAAGCTCGAATTTAAGCTTGAGCTCGTTTAATAAACAAGCTCGAATTTGAGTTCAAGCTCGACTCGTGAGCTCGATAAGCTCGGCTCACGAACCAAAAAATGAGTCAAGTTCGAGCTAGCTCGCGAGCCGCCCGGCTCACTTACACCCCTAGGTCTAGAGAACATAGCCGAGTGATAGTGATTAATAGGCCAAAATTGAAAGATAATGGTCACAAGGAGTCAAGGATATAGTTGGGATATTGTGATGCATAGATTATAGTTGGGAGATAGGGTTCAAGAGATTAAAGTTAGGCAACTGAGAATCTTAATTTAGACATTCCATTCGAATGCAATTTAAAAAAAAAATAAGAATATTATCTCAAAGTCTCTAAATTTTTAGATTAAATATCATATATATAAATATATTATATTTTTAATTTTGGCTTAATTATTTAAGAACGAACCGCGGATAGAGTGGGGTCCACCAGATCCGAATTTGCAACGGTCAACAGGCCCGTGTCAACTAGCGTGGCATTCTCGTAGTTAACTCGAAATACCTGTCCAATCTTATTAATCCGCCCTCGGACTGGAGCTCCTCTGCCCTAGAAAAACCAGAGATAATACCACAGGCCATCCAAAGAATCGATCCGTTTGTTCTTCACGTCCTCTTAATCCCACATTAATGGCGACCAAAACCCCCATCTTTCCAATGCCGATTCCCCACCACTACAGCGACTACGGCTTCGATCCCGAGATCGACTACTTCCAGGTCTCTTTCTCCCTCTCCTCCTCTTTCCTCCCCTTTCAATTTCTTTTCAATCAATCGAGCGATCCATTCGCAGGCTCTGGAAGAAGCGCGGAGACATGGAAAGAGAAGCGACGGGTCTCGATCGGCGGACGCGCTGCATTTCAAGCTACAGAAGCCGATTTCGAAGGAGGAGAGAACGAAGTCGAAGAAGAGGCGGCAATGGTGGAAGAACGCGTTTGGGCTTATTTGGAAGAGCGGGAGAAGCGTTGGTAGAAGCGTCGGCGGCCGGGTTCCGTCGGGGCCGCTGTACGCGACGGAGAGCATGCCGTGCCGGGCGGTTCGAGCGAATTCCGGTCCGCTGAGTGCAGCTGAGTTCATGGAGACCCAGGTGCCGTACTTTAGCCTTAGGGATCTTAATCTTCTGGAGAGTAATGAACTCTCCGCCGGCGAAGCGACGATGAGGCCTATCTATCTCGTTACTTGAGTGTTTGAGAAGGTTTTGATATTGAGCTTGATTGCTCTGCTTTGTCTTCTTCTTCTTCTTCTTCGCCTGAGGTTTGTTGTTTTCTTCTTTTCTTTTTTATTGATGGAAATCAGATCTTTAGCCTTTTGCTGGCTCTGCGGCAATGGCGATGAACTGAGCTCTGTAAAGTTTTCATCTTTTTGGACTTCTCGCGTGCGCGCACGTCCTGTTGTCTTCTGTCTTTTTGCCGTAGTGGTGGCTTTCCGGATTTTACTGAAAGTTGAAGAAGATGCAGAATCAGTGCTGCCTTAAAAAAATAAAAATATAAAAAAATATATATATTAATATTAATTTAAAATTTAATATTTATTTATGTAACATAAAAAAAATTTAAATTATATAAAATATATGATTAATATTAATTTATGTAAAACTATATATAAATATACAATAATTTTGAGCTATTTATATAAATCATTGAAAAAAAATTATTTAGTTAAAAAATAAATCTTATGCATAAAAAAAGTTGGGTTAGTATATCTTGATCTATTTTTTTATTACTATGATTTAAAATTGACAATTATTGATTTTTATATTATATCTATTCTCACCATTATACATAAATATCTTAAATTTTTGCTATTTATAAAATATTTTGTAATAAATATTTTTACTAATTTTAAATTATTAACATTTAATAATTGTCATTAGATTATTATTATTCAACTGCCATCATCTCTCAATTACTTCTCAGTGGTCTACACTACAGCCATAAAAGAGATCCAGTCCTCCGAATTTTATAATTTCAAGTATATAAGTTATCGAGAGAGGAGTTGAAAATACCTTCACTGCCAAAAAAGAAATGAAAATGAAAATATTGGATGATTGGGTATTAAGTGCGGACATTGATTTGGTGTTGTGGATATGAAATAAGAAATTTAGTTTAAATCCCGTCAAATACAAGAAATTATATTTAAAAAAATCATAAAATATTTAAGATATGTGTGTCAGACACAGGTGTCCAATTTGTATTTAATATTTTTTTAATCGGACACGTTTTCGGCGTGTCCGACACGTGTCGGAGGAGTGTCGAGCGAGTGTCGTGTCGGATATGGTGTCGGGCACTGCACGCCTCTTTGAGGAGAAGTGTCGGTGCATCATAGATTATCATAAACTTTAAATAAATAACATTCAATCCCATCCATTTTGCAAATTTTAAGATTGAGAACACCTTTCCTTCAATACCAATGCACGATATTGTTGTTTGGTGATAGTAATCAGACGATATTGGTTGGATTATAGTGAATGGATTGTGATGATCGAATAATAGTGGTCAAATATTGATGATCGGGCAATAATGATTTGATGACACCAATCAGAAGGCGAAATTAGAGTTCATATGATTCTGAGTTTAATTTAAAAAATTTTCAATTTAAATAGTTCTTCAATATTCATGCAATCGAATCACAAGTGATTATTATTATGCACCATAACATGATCATGACACAAAATGAAAGGGGATGATGAATAAAATTGGTCATAATCATCTTAGAAATGAGAGGGACTTTACCATGGAGAAAGTTAGTAGTAACGTATGCTTTGTTTGAATTTTTGTACTAAGAAACTGCTTTAAAAAGCAGCGAGAAAGATGTCCCAATCAAAACCTTAGTTAAGAGAAAGGTAGCTCATGTCCCAAGTAGTAGGTTAATCTTTCTTTTAAATTACTGATGCAAATTAATTTTTTCTAAATTATTGCCTTTATATGAGTTATTATAAATTTTTGTGAAAAAAAAAAACTAATTGTCTGCATTATAGCTATCACTCTAATAAAATTTAAAATTTTATTTGAAAAATAAAATAGTGAAAAAGCTACCCAAAACGAATAAGTAAAATATTATCGTATTTTGTTTAGAAATCTAGTAGCCTAACATACATAACACACACATCTAATACCGTAATCCTTAAACTTATGATCTTCTACGAGAAGCGAAAACTCTCCACCAACAAATGGCGGCACGGGCAAATTCAAGATGGGGGCACTAAGAGCACGCACCTCCATTAACTCGAGTTCGACTCATTGACTTGTTTGATTGAGAGATTAAATATATTTCTCAAATCCTCTTTATTTTACGACTTACAAAGAGTCTGAATCTAAACGAATAAGTTACAAACATATACGTATTATAATTATAAACAGATCATCAATGACTCAACCCACGTTGTAGGATAAAAGCTTGATGTTATTGTTGTTGTTATAGACCATCGGAGACTCTACAACTCATTATCGAAATTTCATCTACTTGCATCTAGTACTATTTAAAATGAAATATTTATATTTTATCATAGTGTCATGGTGTGCAAGGCAGCAATTTATGATGAACATGAAAAACAAGTCTTCTTACTATTTTTAATGGCCTCCATTAATCATACTAGGTTAGCATTAAAGATATAAATAAGAAAGCAACCTCAAAGGTAGGTTGCTAAGAAGCTTTGATTTTTCCTATTTAGTTGGTGAACCCATGTGACAATCAATGAAGTATTAATGCATGCCTAGCGGCTAGTTAAAGGCGTTTTTGATGTTGCAAGGACCAAGTCTCTTACTTCGAATTCTCTTTTAACTTGGAGTCATTTATTGAAAAAATTATTTTGTGTGGACATCAGACGTTGTCCGGAGGTGAATCAGAGCGCACCACCTCACCCCTTTGTTATGAATGGATTGTGACGATTGAACAATGGGGTAAAATATCGATGATCAGACGATAATGGCTCGATGACATCAATCGGGCGATGGAATTAGAGTTCAGGTGATTCTGAATTACATTTAAAAAAAATTAATATAAATAGTTCATCAATATTAATGCCAATACAAAAAATTTTCTTAACAAATATCACGAGTGATTATTATTGTGCATCATAAATAGGGGTGTCAATATTTGACACGACTCGAAACATGACTCGAGCCCGACCCGGAAAAATTTAAGTTCGGGGTCAACCCGTTTCACATACGGGTCGGGTTCGAGTTTGCCAAGTTGACCCGTTTCAAAAGTCGGGTCGGGCTCGGGTTGACCCAACAACCCAAAAATGACCCGTGTTGACCCCTTTAACCCGGCCTACGCTGTACGCGGAACCGCAGTTCGCTATTCTGCGAGAATGCATCGCCGTCGTTGGTCGCCTCCCTCTCCGCCATGCGTCGTCGATCGAACCATTCGCCTGCCGGCCGTAGCCTCTTCAACTAGTAGATTTGCCGCCGCCTGCCGCCCTACTCGCCTGCCACCGAGAACAAAAAGTTGAACAAAACCTAGCCGCACGGCCCGCGCAGTAGCTGCAGGCCCAGCCTCCAGCGATCCGTCGGTCGGCACGCTCAACCCTGGCTTCATCTTGCACCACTAGCCTGCCAAGCTCCAGCTCCACCCGCACGCGATTGCGCACATTTACTGTTTGCGGGTTGGGTCGGGTCAAAGCCATATTTAAGAGAAAGAGTAGCAGTAGCTCAAGTCTGAAGTAGTAGGTAAATCTTTAAAATTAATCATGCAAAATTTTTTTTTTCTAAATTATTGGCTTTTTATTAGTTTTATAAATTTTTGTGAAAAAAAACCTAATTATCTTCCTTATAGCTATCACTCTAATAAAAATTTTATAAAAAAAACCAAATAAATGATAATCAAATAGAAATATAATAGTAATTTGAAAAATAAAATAGCAAAAAAAGTTATCCAAAACGAATAAGCAAAACATTATAATATTTTTTTAGAAATCTAATCAGCCAAACATACATAACACACCTCTAATATTGTAATCCTTAAACCTGAGATTCTACAAGAAGCGAAAGCTCTCCACCAACAAATGGTGGCACGGGCGAATTCAAGATGAGAGCACTAAGAACACGCACCTCCATTAGCTCGAGTTCGCCCTCACTGACTTGTTTGATTGAGAGAATTAACATACCACTCAAATCCGAACTTTTATTTTATCCAGTGAACGTACGCTCCTCTACGTTCGGATCTAGGCAAAAAAAGCGCAATACCGAGTACCGAGTTTTTAAAAAAAACTCGGTTTTGCGCTGTTTTGGTCTAAAAATGAACGTAGAGGAGCGTACGTTCACTGGATGTAATAAAAGTTCCTCAAATCCTCTTTATTTTGCAATTTACAAAGAGTAAATTTAAACGAATAGGTTTTATAATTATAAACAGACCATCAAAGACTCAACCCATATAGTAGAATAAAAGCTAATTGTTTTTATTGTTGTTGTAGACCATTGGAGACTCTACTACTTATTATTGATATTTCATCTACATGCAACTAGTACTATTTAAAATGAAATATTTTATATTTTATCATAGTGTCATTGTGTGCAAGGCAGCAATTTATGATGAACATGAAAATGAAGTCTTCTAGCTATTGTTAATAGCCTCCATTAATGTTGTTGGGCATCCAAGTCAGAGAGAGAGAGAGAGAGAGAGAGAGAGAGAGAGAGAGATTACTCCAACTTGATTATAATGAAGTATTAATGCATGCCTAGTGGCTAGTTAAAGGCACTTTTGATGTTGCAAATAGACCTGTCAATATTGGCCCGGACCTGAACCCGACCCAAAAATTTCGGGTTTGGGTTGACCCGAATCCGAAATGAGTTGGACCCGTTTGAAAAATCGGGTCGAGTTAACCCAAAAACACGGGAATGACCCGAAATAACACATAAACCCGTCTGCTCGAATGAACCCGCCCCGCCTCCCACAGCTGCCCTGCATCAGTTCCGCATGACGGTTCCGCGTCGCACACTCAAGCGCGCCCCGCATCGAGCACTCGAGGGCGCCCAACGTCGAGCCCTCGCGAACACCCAACATCCCGTATCATTTCCACATAGCGCGTCCAGTTCCGTTGGTCCACTGCTGCAACAGGCCAGTTCCACGTTAGTTGCCTATCCGCGGGTCGGGTTCGGGTCCAAAAAATTGACCACTTTGCAAAAACGAGTCGGGCGGCCCAAACTCGAATAGTGCCGGGTCAATTTCGGATTCTACCCGAACCTGACCCGTGACCCAAAATTGACACACCTAGTTGCAAAGACCTAAGACTCAACTTATAAGATAGCTTATTTAATAAATATTAATATAAAATACAATTATAATATTTTAAAATTAGTTAAAAAAATTAATAAAATTTTAAAAATTATATACCATTTTCATATACCAAGTGATTTCCTATTATTTCTTATATAATTTTACATTTTTTATTATTTTATTTAAATAAATACTTCCATTATAATCATTTTCAATCTTTCATAAAAAATA